GTACTACTTTAAGAACGTATCTACATAGAATAGACTATCTACAATCGATATCGCTAATAGACAAATTAAAAATATACTCAGCTACCAACTTTAAATATTTCATTCACATTCATGTACTATTAGCGATACTAATTCAAACATAACAACTACACAAAGTTCTGAAGGTAGATATAATCAAAATAACCACTTGTTAAAAAAATATAGTTACTCGCGTTAAGCAATAGCAATACAGTATAATTAAGATAAATCCAACATGAAAACTTGCATAACTAGTTAATTTCTATCCAAAATGCTAATACAATCGATAGGACAGCATTCAATCGACTTGAAACAAGGGACTGAGATCGGCCTCGAAGGACCAACAACAAAAGTTACCTTAGTTGATTTTGGTCAGTTCAAGAGTGAAGTGAAGCAATAATCGAATGATGATAATAGAAGATATGAAACGGATAAGAAGTAATCGTAAAAATAAATACGAAAAATCGATAAAGAAAATTCGACACCATGTTTTTGTGCGTACTAAATCCTACTAGCATTTTGTCTAGAACACTTGTTTTTTTTTTAATTAAGATACTTTCAGAATTTTATAATATATTGATAATTATTATAAAATTCTAAAAAACATTTGCTACATAGTTTATAAATACGAAATAAGATAACAATATAAATTAATTTTATATTATCTACACCTATAAGAAACAAATTTTAAGAAACATCATATTTTAAAAATAATACTACTTAGGCAGTCATTAACTATATTTGGAACACATTTAACATGACAAATTGGTCCAGCATTGGAACAATTGACAATAACTTTAATATAAAAAAAAATGTTTTATATAATTTTCAATAACTACCTACCCGCATAAAAACCATTTTTTCTAGATCAATTAAGAACGAGAAAATTTTTTTTATTACTATAATGATCTTTCACTCCTGCTACAAAAAAATTATTTACGTAGGACAGACACAATTTGTGGAGCTGATGCTACAAAATCTATTCCTAATATAATGTCATATAACAAGTGACTATAGTAACACTACACACACACTACCATACATACAGGTGGTAATGTGGGACTCACCGGCTAGAAAAGCCAGTCCCATGGTCTACTCTGCAAGTAACCCCTCCCCCCCCCGTTCCTCCCCCCTCCACACAAACACACACATGGTGAACACACATAGGGGAGACCCACTATCAAATCGAAATCGCAAGCTAAAACCAGTCAATTATATATTAATATATTTACCAAGTCCCACCTTACGGGATTAAAATTTTAAACACAAAATCTCCTAAGGCGGAAAATATATTCATTGGCAAAAACGTTATAATATTGCCGGCTTAATCATTTTATAAGGGCCCTCTTGAGTTAGTATCGTTGGACGTCTTCTTGTGCATTTATAAATATTAATTAATAAATATTAATACTTAAACTTTTATAATATAATACTGTTATCGTCGTAACATCATGGAAGACTTTAAAATTTATTGCATAGAGTAATTATTAAGTATCCGAGTTAGTTTTCAAGATCATTAGTAGGTATTATTGTTTTTAAACCTTTTTGAAACAAAGGCAATTTATGCATATAATAAAATTGTAACTAAGCCGAATCTGTACATTTAATATTTTTTGGAAAATTTTATTGAAATAAACATTATTATCGATACAGAGGCCGAATCTATAGTTTTTAGAATTTTTGTCTGTCTGTCTGTCTGTTACCGCATCACAGAAAAGCCACTGGAGGGATTTTGATGAAATTTGGTATGATGATAGCTGATTATAAGGGTCAACATATAGGATACTTTTTACCGCGGGAAAATATTTCATTTCTGAGAAAAAATACAAAAACTGCAATGTAACAGTATACTAATATGTAAAACCTAAGAATTTGATTTTTGGTCATCTGAACGCGGGCGGAGCCGCGGGCAATGCTAGTACCTATATAAGACAAAAACTTAACATGACTATACAAAAACAAGCTTACTTTCTGAATATAGATGAAGGACAAGCTGTTTTAAATACCGGATATTAAAATTATTTTCACCACGTAAAGGGTGTGGTGACTTTTATTCAGAAAGTCTAACGTTGTAAGTTTTTTATTATAAATTGATATTATACGTTTTTTAGGCTATGGTCACAGATCCACCTAACACTTAAGCTTTGTTTACAACTAGCTGCTCTTCCTAGCTTCGCTCGGGTTCGTCCCTAGGTATATTTTAACGGTTAGTATGGAATATATAGACTATATATTATATTACTGTTCCACTTCCAGGGACTATCTAATATAAAAAGAAGTTTCCAAATCGTATTAGGAGTTCCTGAGATTAGCGCGTTTAAATAAACAAACAAACAACCAAACAAGCTCGGCCTTTTTATAATATTATTATTTGAATAAGATTGTGAAATCTTTCAATGATACTAGCAAAACCTTCAAGTTTGGACTCATTTGATTCGTTTTGTCGAGTCCCATACATTACAGTTGGTTTAAAGCGTTTTTTTTTTAATATAATAATTTATTATACGACTCTTATATCATACGGTATGGTTAAATATGACATGATCACCATGACATGCAAATATATATTACATTTCATAGGACATAAATAAAAACATATATTAAATTCGACATTTTATTATCATATAAACACTTAAGAATAAGTCAATAAATAATCATCTCAAACGGAATGTTACTTAAAGATTTGTTTAAGCATTAACAAACAACAATTTTTATACTCGTAAAATTTTACAAACAGTATTAAAACTAAACCCTAAATATTTAAGAGTTAAATTGAAGTGCTATGTAGTTCTAGCGAAACAATTTACTAGCCGATGGAGGTGTAAATCGTTAAGAATATAAAAAAAGTGTATTTGTACATATGTACGCACGTAAGAAGTTATTCTTCTTTGGCGTAACAGCACAAAAATAGCTATAGATTTCATCCCGTATGTCACTACTCTTTGTTTGTAAAAGGTATGCAGCTAGCTTCATCATGTCGCTTTCAGCTAACATCATCATGTCGCTATTTGGCTGTCGGTGTGAGCGCGCATCGTAAAAAAAATTTACTCTCATAATTTTTTCCAAACATGCCAAAAGAAGTACAACTTCAAAAAATAAGACAATAATTAACTACAATTAGGATAATATACAAAAAAATTGTGTTTAATATTATACAGCGCCATCTTTCGACAAATTCTATTACTAACATTAGTCTGTATGTTATTTAGGTAACAGTCTATCTGTGACAAAATTTCATTGAAACCTACCAGTAGTTTTAACGTAAAGAAGTAACAAACATACAAACGTTCGCATTTATTTTTAATATAATACATTAAACATACAATAGACACAACAAAAACACATTTCCGATTCATCTCCATCAGCAGTATCTAATACTTTTTTTAATTTTCTTTACACATTGAAAACTTTGTACAATTATAATTATTAATAGGTGGAAAAAATATAATTCGATAGCTATTTATAGATAGATATTTCAAAGACAAAATGGCACTAACATCATAGTTTGTTTATTATTGCTTAAGTTTTCATTAAACATTAAGTATTAAAAATTAAATAATGTAACCTTTTTTGAAATAACTGTATATCCACAGATATCAGTCAAATTAACTTAAATCGTATAAAAGTACAATTTCCATAAATTAAACAACCCAATTAAATAATGAATGACGTTTGCTACACTTGAATGTTAATAAAAAAAATACAAAATTTTGACACGTCAGAAAATTTTTCTTATTACAAATAGACAGATAATAGAATATTTTAGTATTAATATTCAGGTATGCCAAATGCAATTTAGGTACGAAATATCACATGGTTATATTAAATGTATATTATCTAGCTAAAACTACAAAAATAAATTAAAAAAAAAACAATGTTATTTATAATAGTACTACTTTAAGAACGTATCTACATAGAATAGACTATCTACAATCGATATCGCTAATAGACAAATTAAAAATATACTCAGCTACCAACTTTAAATATTTCATTCACATTCATGTACTATTAGCGATACTAATTCAAACATAACAACTACACAAAGTTCTGAAGGTAGATATAATCAAAATAACCACTTGTTAAAAAAATATAGTTACTCGCGTTAAGCAATAGCAATACAGTATAATTAAGATAAATCCAACATGAAAACTTGCATAACTAGTTAATTTCTATCCAAAATGCTAATACAATCGATAGGACAGCATTCAATCGACTTGAAACAAGGGACTGAGATCGGCCTCGAAGGACCAACAACAAAAGTTACCTTAGTTGATTTTGGTCAGTTCAAGAGTGAAGTGAAGCAATAATCGAATGATGATAATAGAAGATATGAAACGGATAAGAAGTAATCGTAAAAATATATACGAAAAATCGATAAAGAAAATTCGACACCATGTTTTTGTGCGTACTAAATCCTACTAGCATTTTGTCTAGAACACTTGTTTTTTTTTTAATTAAGATACTTTCAGAATTTTATAATATATTGATAATTATTATAAAATTCTAAAAAACATTTGCTACATAGTTTATAAATACGAAATAAGATAACAATATAAATTAATTTTATATTATCTACACCTATAAGAAACAAATTTTAAGAAACATCATATTTTAAAAATAATACTACTTAGGCAGTCATTAACTATATTTGGAACACATTTAACATGACAAATTGGTCCAGCATTGGAACAATTGACAATAACTAACAGTTTCATTTCAGTCATCCACAGTTTCATTCGCTTTGCTTTTAATCAAAAGATAAATTATAACTATGAAGTACTTTTAATACACGAACTTAGAATTCGTATGTAATTACTATTATAAAATGGCATAACTAAATAGTGTCTTTAGTGAATAACTACTTAATTCATTCATACAACCTTTATACTATAAAAATAAAGGATATTTCTTAGTTCTGATACAAACACCAGTAAAATTTCACCAATACACAAATACCCAATAATATAAATATGAATGAATCATGCATTAACAGATTTCTTGACGACGTTCACTCGAGGCGAATGCGAATACAACTTTTTGAACATATCCTGTATGTTATTGTCCGGAAATAAATTACAAAGAGTCACTGCAACAAAAGACAATTTTTTTTAATTTTTATCACTAAATCCATTTACAGGAACACTACATAAGTTGAGTATAACTCCACCCAGTTACTACGCGACCTTAACAACCATGGTCACTTGCAAAAAAACTATTTACATTTTGTCATACTAGCGTTTTAACCTTGCTTTGCTCGGGTCCCTAGGTATCCCTAGGTATCAAACCAACAGTAGCCTATGTGTTACTCCAGATCATAATCTATCTGTTTACAAAATTTCATCCAAATCCCAACATGTACTACATATAATTATTTCGCTACAAATTTCAATGTCATGCTTAACATCTAGCCCCAAACGCAGATAAAAATGCATAATACAATTAATACATATTGCCATCCGACTACATCGATCCTAGGCGCTACAAACTTTAGGAATTATAGTGTAACTTTACTTTTAAATTAAGATAAAGATAGAATTTTATTAAATAAAGATAAGATTAATGATAAAAATGTCGCTAAAAAATTTTTCTCGTGACTCATGTAAAATGTATGTCGATAAAAAGTAGCCTGTATCAACAATCAATAAAGCACAAAACAGTAAATCCGTAGTGCCGTTACAAAGTGAAGAAGTACTCGTAACTAATATAGACTTACGAACTCACTCACCAACTATCATATTTATTAGTGTAATATATCCCATTTTTCCATTGATCATAACATTATTGTTAACCTATTGCCGTATCGGCTAGTAGCAAAATAGTAAACCAAATAACATAAATTATTAAAGTATATGTTAAAAAAAAACATTTACATATATTAATAAAAATTTGGAGAAATAAATATAACTCCTGAGGAGTTGAATAGCCAACATTTCATATGGTCGGAGTTGGATGACATAATTATGAGATATTTTAACTTCAAGTAAAACAAGGCAGTAGAAAGAAAAACAAAATTTAAAGTCTATTTTTACCTTCAAGTAATACAAAGAGTAGTCGCCTATTTATTTCCTGCGTTTGGAACAAATCGAAGACAGTGAGCAGACCTCTGCGGGCCGCGTCCGTGCCCACTATGTGTCTGAGGTCATCTGTAACAAATTTCATGTAAAAGATTCAAAATTAAACACACTTGACCACATCTGTACGTATAAACAATAAATAATCTAATAATATTAAATGAGCAATTCTTGTATGTATGTATATAAATTTATTTCGTGTATCTCGGAAACGGCTTTAACGATTTGGATCAAATTTTATATTTAGATAAGGTTTAGCTATGCAAGTTTATCTATATAGGTGCTTTTTTTTTAAAAAACGCAATTTTTATACATTTTCCGAAAAAACACGATTTTACAAAAAACACGTTAATCAAAGATCGACCAAGTATGTATGTACTATTTAAAAAGCAATAGTTCATTTACTCACCGACAAACACTAAATTTTAAAAACTACTTGACCTATGCATCTGGACGGGTAAATAGTTTATAGGTAGTTTTAACTTAAAAACGTGTCGTCGTGTGCGTCTAAAGGCTTTCGAAAGTTTATTATAGAGTTTTTTGCTCTTAAGAGACACAAAGATGAGTTATTGTGATAACATATAAATTAACTACACGGGGCAATGGCGGATAAATAATTAAGCTAAATTAACCAAACCTGACTTTATTAAAGAAATAATATAAAAGATAAACATTTGGAGTGGGGATCTTGTTCCCTAAAACGTATAAGAGACCACCCTCGAACCTACTTAATGATATAAATCATTAAAATCGGTTCTCAATCAGCAAAGATATCTCGTAACATATGTATGTTCAATACAATTTAAATTAACGATAACCGTTCTTTTGAAGTAAATTAAGAACAAACAATCGGAAAAAATATATGTATTAAAAATAAATTTAATAAAATTATTATAGCACCAGCTCTCACTCGTGGGCTACGCTTGTTTGTAGTTTGTACCGATGATAAAAATACCTAGCGTACATCATACTCTATCGAATCTTTGTACCCACCAATGGGACTCTGTGAAATCGATCAAAACGGTTTTCTTCTATCCAAAAATATTATATATATATATATATATATATATATATATATATATATATATATATATATATATATATATACATATTTTTTAGGCTTTTGTATCATTAAAATACGTACATAAATTCATCATCCATTTTATTTATGGGACATCGATTTCAAATGCACATAGAGAAATTAATTTATTATAGTATAGGTTATAACTTCTTCTTGCCAAAAACATCGGTATGATTTACGGAACCAAATCTATCTATCAAATACATACATATATGCATCAATAGTGACTAAAGTATATTATATTATCTATACTTATTAATAAAATTGAAGTGTGTGTCTGTAATTTAAAAAACTTATGTTTTCTTAAGTACATAGAGTTATTTACATGATAGAAGTACCTAAGCAACCCTTTTTAAAATTTCAGTCTGTCTGTCTGTTTCTGTTTGTCCAGGATAATCTTTAGAACGGCTTAACCGATTGTAATGGGACTTTCACTGAAAGATAGATGACTTTGTAGGGCCACATAAAGGGTGCGTTTTATTCCAGAAATATTTAGGGTTCCAGCACGAAAATCAAAAAAAAAAATAGGCAAAATTCGAATTTACGTTTTAAATAAAACAACGTAAATCTATGAAAGTATTATCTAAGAAAATATTAGTGGAATTTACGTTTTTAAACTGATAGAGATGCACCTGAAAAAAGCTAGGGTAAGTCAATAATATTTTAATAAGAGTAATGTACCAAGAACAAAATAAATGAAATATGTTCATATTATAGAAACGCCTTAAATAAATTGAACCATTCTCATAAGATCTTAACCTTGAACGACTAAAGTGACTGTTCAAAACTATTTTAGAAGAGCCATTTACAGCCACAGCCCACAGGTTTATTCGACTCTGTTATTTGATAACACTTAAGACTTTGATTAGTTACTTAAATGTAATATCCTTCAAATAATTAATTGCGTATATTTGTGTCTGTAAAAGCCCCGTAAAAATCTCATTTAAGCGATTCTTTATATATCCTATAACCTATATCATTAATAATTTATATTCGACTTGCGATTCATCCACGCTCCGCTCGTGTTCGTCCCTACTTACGTTTTGACGTTTAGTATAGATTTCTCAGAGATATTTCCCCGCAGTAAAAAGTATCCTATATGTTGAACTGGATAGCCAGCTATCATCATACCCATCAAAATCCCTCCAGTGGTTTTGCCGGTGATTGCCTCCTCCTTGATGCATTGGCCTCCGTGATGCAGTTACAAACAGACAAAAATTCTAAAAACTATAGATACGGCCTCTGTATCGATAATAATGTCTATTTCAATAAGATTTTCCAAAAAATATTTAATGTACAGATTCGGCTTAGTTACAATTGTATTATATGTATAGATATAATACTTTCTTAGGTTTACGCGAACAATGAATTGACATTTTGAATTAAGTTTTGAATAAAACTATCTTTTCGGAGTTTTTCTCGCATTTATTTTGATCCCGATGTTTGGAATGCTTTCAAAAGAGTGTAATATTAAAAACAATAATTGAAGTAATTAATACAATTAGTGTTGCCTTTTATTAAATTAGGAATACAATAGATCGAGGAGTTTCTACAACACTGTCGCTTTGCACAAATATTACGTGAAAACTGAAAATATATAATAAAATTCTAATCAAGCCGAATCTGTACATAAATATTTTTTGGAAAATTTTGTTGAAATAGACATCATTATCAATACAGAGACCGAATCTATAGTTTTTAGAATTTTTGTCGATCTGTCTGTCTGTCTGTATGTCTGTCTGTCCGTCCGTCCGTCTGTCTGTCTGTCTGCCCGTTACCGCATAATGGAAAAACCACTGGAGGGATTTTGATGAAATTTGATATGGTGATAGCTGGTTATCCGGGTCAACATATAGGATACTTTTTACCACGGGAAAATATCTCATTTCTGAGAAAAAATACAAAAACTGCAATGTAAGTTTACTAATATGTAAAACCTAAGAATATGGTTTTTGGTTATCTAACCGCGAGCGGAGCCGCGGGCAATACTAGTATAATAATAAAAATTAATTTTTCAGTCAAGCCACAGTTAAAATACACCCGCATTTTTCAATTAGTTGGGGGACATCTTTTTATTGTATCCACAATTGTTTTGAAACAAAATTTGTAATGAAATTCGTACGTAATTTCGGACACACTTAAAGTATTATTGTTTTTAATTAAACGAAGCAAAAAAATACCTAAAAATTATAAAAACCACAAAACTCGTACGCCACACTCTAACGCCGTGACATTATTGTAGCAGGGTATCATATCATAGTGGGAATAGAGCAATATCGAAGCCAATATTTTAAAAACATAGTAAATTAGTATCAACCGCACAATGGCGTGTCTCATATCGCATTGATAAAGCCGAAACATTTGGCCGGTAGCCAAATTAAGAATCGCGTAACTCAACCATAGTTTAACCTCAAAATTCTATATTCGGAATTTTCATTGAATTAACGAAATGAATTTTTGTGCTTAATCTACATTGTCCGTTGAACAATTCTCTTGACACAAGTGAGGAAGCATTTTCGTTGGTAAATGTATTACGCTTATTGCAACGCTTTGAAAATTAAACGAATGAGAATTATTTATCTTTCAGCTCTTTATGTTTATGAATGCTTTGTATGTAATATGCTTATTTTTATTCGTTTAAATAGTTTTTATATTTTATCATATTCGTAACATTTTGAGAGATGTCAGTTATTTTTTTTTATTTATATTATAGATAGACGTGGGAAACACTAGATGGAACTCTCTATGATATAATATGATGAAATGATCATACATATTTCCAATTTTATTTAAATCGCTATTATTAGGTATATATAATTGTACCCTGTGTTTACATAATTATTTAGCCTAATTTAGTCTACTAAGCTAATATATCGCAAATGAAATAAAAAATAAATAACTTAATAATGTATGGATAAAGATAAAAAATCGATGTTAAATTTTATAAAAAGAATTATTAATTTTAAAATTAAAAAGTCATTGAGGTAGTTACATGAATGTAGGTATATAAGAAGAGAAAAAATAATTAATAGGAGATTTCTTGAAATTTCTATTGAGATTCATGAAAATATCTGGTAGATAGGTATAAAATCACAGGTAGGTAAGAAAAAAAAATATCATAAAAAATATTAATGTGTCTAAATGTTAGTTACTTCTTCACAGTTACGGCTCAACTAATTTAAACGAAAATAGAAATATAGATAGTATACATCCTATAACAACAAAAACGCTACTTATACTATGAGAAGTTTCTAAATGTGAAGTAACAAACGTAAATGAATTACCAGAAGCAGCAGATAATAAGGCAACTTTTGCTGCGACCCTCGTCCTAGCCCTCGTAGCGGCGTCTCTTGGCACTGCACTTGGATTATTCCGATTTGTCAGCCATTGTCTAAGTAAATTTATAAAAAAAAATATGTTATTATGTTATGTTTGATATAAAAATTATGTGATATTTACTATATCTATACTAATAATATAATATTATAAAGAGGAAAGATTTTTTTGAAACTACTGAACCGAATCAGATGAAATTTCGTAAGAAGATAGTTTGAGACCTTGAGAAGGACATAGGATAGTTTTTATCTCGGAAATCATCCCTTAAAGGAGTGAAAATGGGGATGAAAACTTGTATGGGGAAGCATCCTAGAGACGAACCCGAGCGAAGCGGGGATGAGTCGCTAGTTTTAAATAAAACTTCTTGTCGGATTATTTCGCGGATTTATTTAGATTTTTGGTTCCCGACGTTTCGGATGCTTTACAGCAATCATGGTCACAAAATGAAAATAAGATAGTTTTATTTAAAATGTCAAATATTCGCGTAAATCTAAGAAAGTATTATTCACTATATTATTAATAATAATTGATAAAAAAATTATTAATTAATCAAATTTAGAATGAAAATATCATTTTTTTTTATTTCAGTATCTTATATCTTAGATTAAACTCTTAAAAAGCGGTATACTTACTTAAAAGTTTTTAAATACTGGACCACGTTCCTCGGAGATGTCAAGGATGAAACAAATTCTAACAGTTTTCTGTAATCATTCAAATATGATGTTAAAATGACGACATAAAATGAAAGCAAAATTAATAGTAAAATTCGTAGAGATATAGGAAACTACTGTAAATAGCTACGTTGTTTTACACTTAATAATAATAGAATGCTTCCGACCCCGGACCAATAATAATTTTGGGCTTACATTAATTCAAAACTATTGTTAATGTTTTCTCACTCAAACATTAATTACATGAAAACTTTACAAGACAATTTAGCCTGAGAATGATCAAAAATACAAATCTTTATATATAAAATTACGGCGTGTGTATGTTCGTAATTCTTCTCCTCCTAAAGGATTTAATGAAATTTTTAGGTATATATCGGGTCATTGGGGTGGCTCTAAGTTACTATTAGACCAGGTAGGTGACACTGAGGCTGTTATCAAATCCAGTTTTTATTTTTTATTTTCTGACCAAATGAATCTATGGCAGAAAAAGGTCTACCTATCGGGTCTACTTGTAGTTATATATAAGAAATACATACTTATTTACTCTATCCGCGATCATAGTCCTAAGCGGCGCCAAAAGACGCCGTCTCAACCAAAGACCTCTTATTCCCAACACTTCTTCTAACAGCCTTAATGGCACACTCTCGTCACCGTCCTTTTGACAATTAAAAACATGAAAAATTTATGATGAGGCTTAAAATTAAAAATTAAACAACGAATAAAAAATTAAAATATTTTTTATATCTTCAAACTCAGATACTGCCTTAATAGTTAAAGATGGATTAATTTCTTATATTTAAATAGAAACGTGAAGAAAGTTTAGTTCTCATAATGTACCCTATGAGGACTGAAAAAGTTTGACGACACGTTTGGCTCAGTTTGTAGTAACTCTACTTGCTGTGCCAGCAATCGCGGATTCAAGTCCCACTGGGGGCACTCATTTGTGATAACACAAATGTTTGTACTCCAGTCATAGGTGTTTATTTATATTTATAATATGTATGTATTTAAAATTATATATGTGTAGTGTATAGTGTATTCATAACACAAGCCTCGTAGCATAACATCGAACTAGATGGTGCTATGTGTTAATGTCCCAACATATAAAAAAAAAACATTTAAAATAATTATGTTCGTGTACAACGTTATTTTATTACTTACATATACACAATATATTAAGCTTATACAAGCACTGAATCGTTAAACTTTTAACTATATTTTAGAATTGTAAGTCCATTTGAAAGCCAACTTCAGCTCAGAACACAATTCTGCTAAGAAAAGCCCACAAAAACTCAAGAGTTGCATTGTTTTAAAATAATATTTACACACACTAAAACACAATATTTAATATTTATCTAACTTTAGTGTCAACTATAATTAATCCCAGCAAATTATAAGTAAAATGTAAATAAAATTATACTCGTAGTTCCGAAAACTTATTTACATATATATAGCTGACACTAAAAATCGAATCTCTCATAGATAGTGTAAACTGGATATTTGAATCCACTCAATAAAGTACGATATGAACTTTAGCAATATTTTTATAGGACTAAAAAAAATCTTTCTAAATATCATATAACAAAAACCTCTTTAGCCATTCTCTAGTGAGTGCACGACTATGCAGATGAATAAAAGCTTTCAATACAATTATTTTTTTATAAAAAAAAACATATCCAACCCAGACTTCACTACTACTTTATCATTCATATAAAAAGGATAGTCAAACGGAAAATTTCTTTTATTTTTTTGTCGGTAAAAATATACATTACCGAATGATTTTCATTCTCATTCATGCGGCATAATCTCTACGATAGATATTTCTAGCCAAGTCCAATTCCGACGTTATACACGAAAATTAAATCGTTTCTATTTTTTCGACATCGTATTCGTAAATCGGATCTACTTTAATCCATAATAGGTTTTAAAAATATAGAATCAGGTTTTTGTATCGATATTGAGAATAGACAAATGTTTATCGTAAATATTATGTTGAGAATCGATTTGTTAATGCCGTGATGTATAAGAAATGCAATCTACTCGTTTTTTGGATAACTCCATGTTAGACAGGTAAAATAAGATAGGTATATTGACAGATAAATAGTATAGAAAAAAACTCGAAAGTTCAGTTGTATTAGAAATAACCACAAACTTGAAGTAAAAGCTCTTTGACATATAAAAAAAATAATGATTTAACTAGCCTATAGTGCTACTGCTCTACTTTTGTCCCTGGTTTAGAAGTAATTCCGATATATAAATCGCAATTCATGAAAATTCTGTTATTCTGTGGACAGAAGCAAGTAGGTACAATTGATATTATTATGTCTAAGGTAAGATGTATTTTATAAGGTATCATATAGTTTTACTAACTATTGAGCAAAATGCATAGTTAAAAATTCAATCATGTTCTAGAAGTGTTAAACGCTCATACATTGGAGTGCTGCAGAAATATAATAATTCGAAATACATTCTTTAAAAACTTGGGCAATTACGAGTCTCACTTGAATCACACACAGTAGCATGAAACATGTTATATTTTAGTATACTCCATTTGTTGCATTAAACCAAACTATCCGTTCTTCAAAAGTTTTTAGGGGGTCTACAATATACGTAAATTGTTACAATTGGTTTTGAGTTAACAAGTTCTGGCTGATCGGGGAATCAAATACTTTTTTTTCATTTGTTTTTGAAACGTATGTAAATTGTCAAAAGTTGCAATAGTATTTTAAATATATTTGAACTTAACTAAGAATATTTCTAATCAAAGAATTTTTACTTCAAAATGACAGCATTTTAAAATTATTTAAGATCTTTTTACCATACTAAATGTTACTCGATTTCGGTCTCGGTCTCGGCCGACAATTTATTTCGTTCTCGATCTCGGTCTCGGTCGAGACAAAAAAAGAAAGTGCGGTCAGTACTTATCGCCTGGTACTTATAATGACGTCACATTATGAGCTGCCTTTAGCTATTATATCTGGTGACAATAGTTGTCATAACTACTAGGGGACCACAAACCTCAAGAAATGTCCATTATATATGAAGGGTCCCATCATAAGAGTGCATACGAACTACTTACTACATACTTTCCTTAACACTTAATCGTCTGGTACTTATTATGACGTCACATGTAGTGCTTAGTAAATAATTTAAAGTGTCGTGACGGTCGAAATATTACACTTGTTATTTAGCTCCCATTCCATATAGTCATCTGTGCCGAGTATAGAGTGCGATAAGGAATGCTTCTCGAATTATAAAACTACTATCAGCGAACTTAAAAGATGGTATCAAATTGACGAAGGAACGTTGAGAACGAAGGAAAGGAAGGTCGAGTATTATGCAGTCGGAGACATACGTATGTATATATTATCCTTGCTGCGAATCTTACTATGTCTATATCAACTTGTTTCCATTTTGGTAGTTCCCTTTTAACGTAGGCGAGTTTGATTATTTTTTTATATTTTTTTTAATTACAGCATTTTAGTTTTGGCCAGTTAGATAATTGGAGTTTTATTTATCATCGTCATTTACATCCAATATAATATAGTTTACTTTTATACCCTAATTGCTGTTGATGGAATTGTGTTGAAGGAAGATATATTAACTCATATGCGGGCTATCTATAATATTATGTTTATCAATGTAACTTCTGTCTGAACAAAGGAAAGTCTTCCGTCTTCTCGGCAAAAGGAGTAAACATTTCCATGAAAATCTGACTCTACTAAGTATAGAATAAAGTTTATAATTTCTTTTCAAATAGTAATAGTCATTTTATAAAAATACGAAAATAGAATGAGAAATACGAATTGAATTAAAAACCGAAATTTCGCAGTAAATAAATAAAATTAAAACAAAAATTATTTTGACTAACATGCACTACGTGCTAGTACTTACATCTTGTACGTCCGAAGAGTTTCCAGACTTGATATTTTCGTAACTCTCACTGCTTTTTCCTTGAAAAACTTTTGAAATCCCTGCACAAACAAAAATTCAAACTGTGTTTTACAGAAAATAGTTAATTGATTATTTGTGTTTAATTGTATGTATTGGTATTCAGCCATTTTTAACGTCCTTCTACTGGGCACGAGCCTCCCTTAAATACGAGGGGATCAGGCCCAGTGCAAGTTGGTGGACTTCACACTTTCGAAAACTTACTAGGTCCTCTCAGACATGCTGGTTTTCTCAAAATGTTTTTCTTCACCGTAAGACAAGTACCATGTTGGAAATCATTCACACATGAAAATATCATAGATGCGAGACCCGGGATTGAACCCTTTTCACGGTTACAAGCCACTGCCTTTATTATTCGTACTATATACTTAGCAAAATCTTTATAAAAATATAACTTTGAGTACACTTACAGAGATAAAGCTTACACATAAGTTCAATAATTTACAGCAATATATTGAAAAAAATATAATAACCAATCGAATTAGACCCAAAATCAAAGGTAAATTCTCACCATCCATAACTCCATCCACAGTATTGGCAAATTGATCTGGCATGCTTTTCAAAGTTCTCATACCAGCCTTTATTGAATTAACGAGAAGAGCATCGATCTAAAATACATTAATATATAATAAGTAATCTATACATATAATAAAATTGTAACCAAGCAGAATCTGTACATTCAATATTTTTTAGGAAATCTTATTGAAATAAACATCATTATCGATACAGAGGCCGAATCTATAGTTTTTACAATTTTTGTCTGTCTATCTGTCTGTCTGTTACCGCAGCACAGTAAAACCACTGGAGGGATTTTGATGAAATTTGGTAAGGTGATAGCTGGTATCCGGGTCAACATATAGGATACTTTTTAACGCGGGAAAATATCTAATTTCTGAGAAAAAATACAAAAACTGCAATGTAAGAGTATACTAATATGTAAAACCGAAGAATTCGGTTTTTGGCCATCTGAACGCGGGCGGAGCCGCGGGCAATGCTAGTATAATATATAAGTATTATGCAGTGACAACTTTTTTGATTTTGACAACGTAACCATGTGTTTTATTATTTCGCAATGCGGTGGCGTTACTAAAACGATATAATGACGTCACTAGCGTTTGAATTTACATTAACAAAATAACACTTTTAATTGTAAAATTACATAAAAAATCAATTGTTAAAAACAAAAAATTCTTAACAATTTTCAGTAAGCTTTAAAAAAATATTTAGAAACATGCAACTTCTCTGTTACAATAACATATGAAACAAAATTATCTACAACATCTTACCGAATTACCGTGTCTTTCCGTCTGTATCTCCGGACTGAGGAAGCCGCCCAGGTACTGGGGCGACAGGAGTGCTAAGTATCTAGCATCGCGGGAGATACTCGTGAGGCTTTGAAGATAGTTGTTTAGCATTCTCTTCCTATTCTCTAACACGCTACGAGACGTGTTCTGGAAGGTTTTCTTCGCTGGAAACGGTAAATGTCCTAGTTCCGGCCACTGTAAAGAAAATTGTAATGAATATTTGATATCTACAGAAAATCAGGTAAATGAGTCTGAATATCCAGCTGGTGAGTCATCACCAACTAATTTTAAATTCATGTTACATTATAACGCAAATATTTTCTGTATTATAATATGTATAATAATAAAAATATATATGTATAAGTAAAATCCAAAAAGTATCCAACTCCTTAAACTTTAAAAGTATACGTTTGTACATTTACGTTATATATATTTTTAATAATTTTGTAATTTATTTAATGACACTTTAGCAAAATAAATTGTAAAAAAAAATAAAAAAAGGCATTTAACATATTTAAAGGCATTAAGTAGGCATATATTAGTTTATAAAAATTTAAAAAAAACTACCTTTTCCTTTATAGACGAGTGAAGATCGTAAAAATCACTATACCGTCTATATATATGCCATACTTCGTTATCAGACGCTCTAGTCACAGCTATCGCATAAATACCGAAAGTTCTACCTTTATCTTGCACGAGAGCTAAAACAAAAAAATATTATCGTCATTTAGTATCTTAAAACACAAAAAAAATACCATAATTGAAACTCTGAGTGCTTCTATCGTCGTTCGGCAACATTCTTAAACATTATTGTAATATTTTAAACTATTTTGAAGCTTGCAAATCCACTATTAAGGTGGGCGTCAAAAAAATTATTCATGTGTCATAGAAATTTCACTAAAATTTATTGAGCGTTCACGTTATATCGTGAAGAAATAACAAACACCTTCACTCAATCACTCATAATCCTATGAATTTATTTAAACTAATGACATACTGTTGCTTCGCTCGTGCGTCCATAGGTACCAAACAGACAATATAGGTACAAACAAACAAACAAACAAACAAACAAACAAACAAACAAACAAACAAACAAATAAACAAACAAACATACTATATACATACATACTTTCCCTAGGGACGAACTCAAATTAAAAAAAATATAAAATAGTATGATATCCTCAAAAGGTATATCTTTTGATTAATATTAAGTTGTATTTTCATGTACTTAAAATTGTGTTTATAGTATATTTATATGTACTTTTTCAATTTTTTTGCTTAATTTACCCTGTTTTCTTCTCTAATTATGTGTTTCTAATTGGTGGAAACTTAATAGGTAAATGTGTGTATTTTTCATAATAATTTGTATGTTGTGTAATACTGCCTGTTCCCCTAAAATAAGTAAAATATATAATCTTAAAAGGTTTACCTGTTTCTATAATATATGCCGACAGCGGAGACATCATGTTCTTAGCACTTTGACTTATTGCCGAATGGGATAACGATAGATTACTTGTATTCGCCGATTTTAGATTAGATGGACCTGAAATATGATGAGTCGGTAATAAATTGTGATAAATTATTCATTTGACACTTTAAAATGATTACTACTTGCTAAAATGGTAGAACATGCTGGAGGAAGGAAAGTATCATGAGGAAAGATGCATGTCTGGGAGAATCTATCAAATATTGGAAAGACGTGTTAAAACCGCCAATCTGCACTTGGCCAGCATGGTGGTATATGACCACTTTCGTGTTAAAAGACCATTTTTAAGAATTAGTTTACTTTTCTTTTTATATTAAAAAAAAATTAACACTACTTCTCTTTGACCTTTCAATGGGTCTACGTCCCCCCATTTTTTTCCTTATTTCTCAAAAATCTCAAACTCGAAATTTACAATTTATATATTCCATCAGTGATCAGTCAGTAAGTATCTATCAGTCCATACCAATATTAACCCACGCAAAAATTGAACCTACAACCAAAGCTACAGTAGTCAAAAACAGACAACCATATGTCATCATGAATATTAAAACAATCAAACTTACCCGCATTTTCATGAACCATTTTTTGTGCGAAACTACCTACAATATCTGATCGTGATCGATTATGCCTAGAAGTGACCGGCGTCACTACCTCACCTGTTACAACAAACAAAAATACAAATTCACAATAAAATTATATACATAGTAAGGGACTGTCCATACACAATATTTTTGTCTATAAATCTAAGTCACTCAAATAGTTTCCTAAACTATCTTACTATAATCTCTTAGACACGAAATAATATGGACAGTCCCTTAAAAAATCGATAATAATACTACATTTAGAAAACCTACATCATACCAAACAAAACAGAAAGGAAATAAATCCACCTAAGTGTCATTCAAGCGAACACTGAAAAATTAAGCTGAAAGGGTTGGATCATGAAGAAAAAAAATTATATCGAGAAACTTCTAGCCTGTCTAGAAAGCAAAATATAGAACTACCCACAGTTGCATTTGGGTATCGTATGATTCCTGTTCGTTTGGACTCGCCGAGACAAAGTTCGGGGGAAAGTGGACGATTTGTTGGACAAATTATGTTTATACTTCGTTTTGTTAAATAATTTTGGCAACTGGCTCAGACATGTCTTCATTATTCTCTTGCATTTTTCTGTAGATTACATTTATATGTTAGTGGCTCTATGAGTTAATTGTTAAAAAAAACCTATCCTATTATTGTAAGTTTTAATAATATTCGCGTAAATCTAAGAAAGTATTATTAAAAGTTATTTTAAAGGCAGTTTTGCACGCGTATGACCCTCAAAAACAAACAACTCATAAAAAACATGACTTATACAGAATAGTTGAAAATAATTGAACACCAAAGTAGTAGTAAATCGAAAAGGAATCAAGAACCTAAGTTAAAAGATTTCTACATATACAGTATACATATATTATGTAATATATGTATGTATAAGTATATATTATGTATTATATTCTAGGAACGTACTAAAAGATATCCATATAAAAAGAAAAAAAGTTGTGTTAAAGAAAACGACAAACAAACAAAATTTTATATTTATAACTAACTATAACAAAGATAACAGGAAAAGAAGGAGCATTTAATATTTATAATTAAACTACATAGGTATGTATTATACAAAAAGTCTAAAAAATTCTACAAAAACTCTTACCGCTATATTTAGGGTTATCGATTTTGACGTCTCGGTTGAATTCGCTGCGAATAAAAATCGATTATTATTTTTCCAAATCCTTCATATCCTAGTTAGTATATACTTTCATAATAAGTTACCTGTTGATTTTATCAGCAATATCTTTTTCATTATCCATCATGAAATCAGCTTGCCATGACGGATCGTCCTTAAAAATTACGATTATATAGTTGATATCAATATATATTTTTTTAAATAAAACTATAAATTATAAATGTATAAATTATAATACAATCTTTATCTCAAGTTTATTTTTCATTCGAATAAATTGATTTATCGTCACGTTTGATGGGGGCTTACGCTTAGAGAGGATTTTAATAAAATACTGAGAACATATTGAGAGAAATATTAGGATCGCATATTCCATTTAACCCGTTTATACATAATTCAACGAATGAATAAAGAATATGAAGAAAATTATCAAATGTTGCATTCATAATAACGGGATCAAATTAATTCAAAAATAATTTTGAAAAATTTATTGAGTAAAAACTAAAACAACAAATACTTCGTTTATTCGCTAATTATAATGTAATAAAGTTTTCTTATTTCTGATCATTAACATTTGTTATTAAAAAAAAGTCAAATCCACCCAAAGATAGCTATAAAACATAGCTCATACCTAAAATCCAATCCCAAGTAACGAAAACCCAAAAAAAAATCGAACCCGCACTCACCTCTAACGCATCGCACACGCACTTCTGAACATCGTCGAAGCAGGCGACGGGGTTGTTACAGAACTCCTCTCCTTCCGTTGTTATCTTCCTTACAAGTTCAGCGTGACAGTTCTCTGGCACACCGAGAACCGCGAGCCGACTGGGAGCTAAGTACGTGTCGCATAACTCCAGGGCGGAGGACCGGAGGTTGTCGATCACTGCTTTTGAAGTTTGGGGGGCGTCTGGAAATTAATAATTTTTGCCAATTTTTTCTTAATGTTAAAAATATTTTTTATCTGTGATCTCGTTGACCTAGGAGGTTTTAAGTTCCGAGTCCTGGGTCAGGCTAAGTAGTAAGTAATAAGAATAGATGCTGGGTATATCTGGTTAGAAATACCTAATAGCAGCCCGGAGCAGGGTAGTTGAGAGAGCACATATCATGCACGTAGTGTAGAACACTAGAAAGATAATAATAATTAATTGCAGATACCTGTTTCATTTAACTCAATCTCGAGCAAATACTGCGCATTAGATTTCCAAGCAGCAACAGCTCTTATAAACTTTAAGGTTCTTAAAACTTCTTCAGATACTTTTTCTGTCGCTGTATTATTTGTGGCACCTATAACGAAAAAACTTAATTAGAATAATCGTATGTCATCTTATCATTAAAGATCTTAAAGGCTCTTTCATTTGTTATTATTATTGTGCTATTCTTTTTGCTATTATGTGATAATTCACAATATCTATCTGCGTGTATCGTTTCAGCAATAATTTGCTGAAACGATACACGCAGATAGATAGTGATCAACTCATAGGCTTATATATTAACAAAAAAAAACTTTCTGAGGGCACGCAATTTCTAACTTTATTTTTGAATTTTATATGTTCGTCTTAAGTGAAATGTGTTATTCTTTAGTAAAAATAAATATTAACTGCTGTTTTGCAGTCATATTGACTATGTATTAGCCAATTATTTATAGCACATTTCAGAGTAGTACTCTAATAATATAAGCACTATACGTATTCGATAAAAGCCCCAATAAAAGCACTGATAAAACCCGCTGTTTACTAGTGAAGCGAGATTAGATGGAATCTTATAGTGGCTTCACAAAAATAGCATTTATGATATCATATACTAATATTGAAAGTTACATAATACGTTTTAGGTGCAAACTCTGTATGTAGGATCTATAGGATTATTTCATTGTCTGTTTGTCTGTCTATTTATCTCAAAAACTGATTAGACAGATTTATCAAATTAAAATTTAAGTCAAATACTAAGTTTATAGTCACATATTCGAATACTGTTGAGATCAAAACCAGAAGGGCATGTTCCATTAACGTAGAATTAATTAAAGCACATAATTTTATATGGAACTAGCGACTCACCCTCATATAAGCGTGTCATCACTTTAGTATAGATTTCTTAGAAATGAGATATTTTCCTGCAGTAAAAAGTATTGTATATGTTGACTAACTATCATAAAATTAAAACCAGCTATCATCATACCAAATTTCATCAAAATCTGTCCAATGGTTTTCTCGTGATGTGGTCACAGACAGACAAACAAAAATTATAAAAACTACAGATTCGGGCTCTGTATCGATATTAATGACTATTTCAATTAGATTTTTCAAAAAATATTTAATGTACAGATTTGACTCAATTAGAATTTTATTATATATATAGATCATCACACCATAGTTCTTAACTCATAATATCTTTGACTTCTATAATACTAAACAGTTTGGCGTTACAGAGTATCCAATTTATAATTTACCTTCTTGTGGTCCGAGAGTGGCTCTTCTCGCTTGAATTATCCTAGAAACGTATTGCAATGAGGATAGCTTTTGTCGATCTTGCAGTTCCCACTCCCCCGCACTATCTTTTGAATGCTGGAAAGTTTCTTTATAGTAGTGTTCTAAGTAATTAAAGTTTCACAATTATGAGATTTATGGTGATATATTTAGAGTTTAACATTCCTTATATTTATAAACGTTACTTTTGATGCCAAAAAATTGTAGCCTTATTTTAAAACGACAAAGCATTCATGTCAATTAAATTCAATAATAATTGCATACCTAATAAGTAACAAATCTTACCAATTTTTGGATATCTTTCTGCACAAGTTCAAGCGTCGCATCTAACTCTTCCGCATCGCTACAGGCGCGTATTACTAATAGAAATAATTCGGATGACAGGCACGAGTCCCTACAGCACTGTCGATAATGAAAATATTTAATTTACTAAAAATGTATACCGACTTCAAAATCACTTCAAATTATTCCAGCTTTATAGATAATTTTTTTTCTTGAAATGTATAAAACATTGTCATTAAATAAAAACGAAAAATTGGGTCACAGCGGCCAATCTCATCGAGACTAGCCATCTGCACATGAGATATTATAGTGCACAAGTGTGCGCACAGACACACGTGCAATCTAATCTCTATTCCTGTCACTCTCATACTCAAGTGAGACGAAAACTCTACACGACCAGTGAAAGTTAAGGCGCAGGACCGATGGCTTTAGATGCTCTCCGAGGCTCGAGAGTGATACACCACAACTTCCCAACCCTGGGCTATTACAGAGAATTTTTTAACAGAAATACTCCATGATTGAATTTGGTTCGACCCGGGACTCAAACCCAAGACCTATGGATTTGCCGCCGTAAATGCTAGCCGCTAGATCACCGAGAGTGTTAAAAAAATGAATCAAGTAAAAAACAAAAAAAACTGTGTCGAAAATGGCAAACCTGAAGTCTTGAGTATACTTGCACAATCTCAACACAAGTTACAAAATTCTATTGAGGAGTAAGAAGTGTTAGGTTATCTAATTAGCTTTATTTAGTTTAGCTAAATTTGATTCATATTTTTTTTGTCTTTATTATTACTTTGATGTTGTTTGTTAGATAAAAACAAGGCATATTATGCTTTTTAACATTTAATGCATAAAAGTTTTCATATTTCTAATACTCACAGATCTAATGATAGTCCTATTTATGTTATCTGGATCGCTTAACAGATTTATAATTGGTCTCAACACTACAGCCGACAGTAAGTCTATTAGAATAAGTTTCAACGCATGACACTTCCACACTTCTTCTGATGCGATTAAATATAAAATTGCTTCTGAAACTTCATTAAGTAAGGCTGAAATAGATAATAATAAATTATTAATGAAATAGAAACTGAAATCCATGTTTTTTTAATTATACCTGGTTTACTTTTTAATTTCTTTCATCTAACTTTATTCACATATGTTTTTTTTAAATAGACTTTAAAGTATAATTTGAAGTACTACTTAATATATATATGTAACTACAAGTATGACAACAATATGAGATGGACTTGATTATTGCATGGAATTTGAAGTGTATGAAGTATGTTGTAATTTTAAAATGAAGTAGAAGCTCTGTCGGCAAATAGTACTCTAGCTAGACACCACAGATAATATTGTAATACAGTGTCAAAAAGTTACTTTTTGAGTTTTAAATTTTAATATATTTTGTTAGAGTAGACTAATTTTAAAGACAAAGATTAAATTTTACCCCTAGATATGGACTTCAAATTCCTAAACCCTCAAATTCAATTCAGTATTTTTGATTTGTTGCAATTTTAAATACACAGATGAATACATAATAAACCACTAGATAAAAAGACAGACAAAAATTCTAAAAATGACAAAAATCTTTTTTTTTTGAAAACAAGATTTTTTTATTCTTATTATATGTATAAAATCTCTAATATATTATAATATTCACACAAAACTTTTATTTATTTATAACAATTTCTTTCTAATTCTAGTATACTATTACTTACCATTTTCTTTTTCAGGATCACAACAGTAAATATCACGACATATCTTTTTATTTTCTATTGAACATTCCAAATCAAAAAAAAGATCCTTTAAATTGTTGCCTGTAATGTTTTCTGAGCTGCTATAGAATTTAGATTTACCAAATGTCTGTGAATCTAAAATAAAGAAAATAAGTTTAGCAATAATAACTTATATAAGAACAAAATTATCTTTCTATATCTCAAATACATATACATAAAAACTATTAAATAACAATATGTAAAGAATTTAGTCAAAAATAAAACATTTTTATGCATCTATTAGTGGCTCACCCTCGCTTCGCTCAGGTTCACAGGATAACAAACACAAATTTATCATAAAGGAACTGTACATTTTTCTGGGATAAAAAGTTGCCTATGTTCTATACCAAACAATAATCTATCTCTGTGCCAAATTTCATACAGATCCATTTAGCCATTCTGGTGTGATTGAGTAACAAACATCCAAACTTCACACTTCTACATTTACATTAGTAAGATTTAAGAGACATATTAAATTTCATTATAAAGCAACAATAAACTGAGCAAAATTTATTTTCTTTAACTTTTACAAATCTTTTCTCTTCATTTTAATAATATTATAACTTTTAATAGGTACCTGGTGGCCAGGTCAGGTCAGTTTCACTTTTATTTCTTCTGTGAGTTTTCTTCTCATCTTGTTTTTTAGGACTTAATTTAGAAGTTCCGTTTACTTCTTTGGCACTTAATAATTGTATGTGTTTCAATCTAACCCTAGATTGTTTATATAATTTTAAATGTGTTGTTAGCTCCTCTGGAAATCTTGCTGATAATAAATGGATCCAGTCAACACTTTTTACTCTAAAAGCATTTTGTATAAATATATTATTTTATATAAATAATAAATAATTGTTATTTATAGCACAAATTAAAATATTAATAAACTTATTCCTCTGTTTGTCTTTATTTAGAATATCTTTAAGTAATTATAATATTTACTCAATTAATTTTATCAAAATTAATTTTATCAAGAATGTCATTAACATTTGTCTTTATCTATTTGTAAAGAAATATGAATAAAAATTCCACTCTCCAAGTACATAGATATCAAATTATTTACCTATTGGATACATTCGCTCCCGCAGCAACCACAACTTTTTTGATAGCATGAGAAGTAAATTCCTGATCATCCGTTATAAGTTCATACCAAGGTGTCACATAATCATTAATAATTATAGATATGATTTCATTTAAGAATGAGTCAACAGTTTCACTGCCTGTAATTCTATTATCAAACTTTGGCAATGGTTTTTCATTTTTAAATAGTTCTAAAATCTGAAATTATAAATACATGTATAAATTAAGAAACAAGTAAGTTTACAGTAACTTAAAATTCAGTATAGGTTAACCAATAGTCAAATTTATCATCAAATAAGTAATACATATAAGATATGCCACCTTTGGAGATTGTATAGAAAAATTTGTTTGTTGTAGTGGATCATCTAAGCAGTCAATATCAGCACTAAGGAATCTTTTATCACAATTTAAATACAGAACAGTCAACACCCTGAAAATAAAAGAGATTATTTACGTAGCATATATAGAAATCGCTATTAAATATATTCTTATACTTACTGATGTTTTATATATGGTTAATTACTTACCCAATTAGGAATGAAACGAAAAATGTTAGTAATGATACATAAAGTCCAAAGCCAAGTAGCGCAATAATTATAACCGATACTAGACTAAACCATCCTGCAAATCTAAGGAGCATTGTCATTATTATAGATAGAAGACTACAATTTAAATTAATAATGAGAAAAAAAAATCTATTATGAAAAACAAAACTGTAAGCGACAAACACGTCAAAAATACATTGCAAATTATGTCAACTGTCAATATGACAACAATGTGTGAATGACATTACTTGTCAAAACATTGACGATTTGTCTATGGTAAATAGCGTTGAGCCAAGTTTATATCTGACTAGCGACTACCTTCGCTGCGCTTTGGTTCATCCCTAGTTACGTTTTAACGCTTAGTATAGATTTCTCAGATATGTGATATTTTCCTGCAGTAAAAAGTATCTTATGTTGATCCGCATAACCAACTATCATACCGAACATCAAAATCTATCTAGTGGTTTTCTCATGATGCGCTAAGACAGAAAGATAGACAAAAATAAAAAGTATCCTATGTCCTTCCCAGGGTCTCAAACTATCTTCTTGCCAAATTTCATCAAAATCGGTTCAGTAGATCCACAGCGTACCCCCTACAACATCACAAACTAAGAAACTTTACCTCTTTTTTTTTAAACTTTACCTCTTTATTATATTAGTATAGATGAAAAATGATGAAAGAAACCTAAAATTGATTTTTAAATACCTATTCAACGATATCCCACTTTACATAGTTCGTCGATTTTTCTTTTTTCTTTTTCACATTAAGGCATCCAAAATCGGCCATTTTGACTTTTCCAAATTTTTATGCTTTTCATGACATTTGCGCCGTCATGACGAATCAAATGACGTGTTATTTTTCAAAATCAGCCCACGCGTTTGGTCTATAAAATAATGCCACAAATGTACAAACCCACATACATATATACATACATCGGCTGATAAACACATAACCCTCCTTTGCGTCGCGCAGTCAAGTAAAAATAAAACACATTGTAACAGCGTTTCAGTTTATTGAAATACAACACGACCACAAGTACTGTTATGCAATATATACTTTAGACTACTTATTTTAGTAATACTACATAATTATTTTATTGTCAAACATGTCAAATAAATAATTTACGTGGCCTCTACGTGGTTAAGGATGTAAAAGTAGTGTCTCTCGATGAAGATAAAACAACTTATTGACATGAAATGACCAATTTTATGTATCAGTTGTTAAAATTGTAAAACAGTAGGAATGACAATAGAACGGCAATAATGAAATCGTTTTATAATCACACATTCATTATTTATTAACTACAATAATTATCATGTCAGAAAGTGCTTGAACAATTTTTATTTATTATTAATAGTGCTTTAAAATTGATATTTAGAATATAAATTATATTATCCAATTCCTTTGTTAATTCTTTTACAATTAGTATATTATATCTTAAACTATAAAATAATTTAAACGAATACATTTTAAAAGCTAGATGAAGATATGGTTGTAATAAAATTTATCATGAAATAACCCAAAGTTATCATTATATTTATGATCTGAAGTATATCATAGTTTCTTGTCTTGAAGATAAAAAATTGAGGGCATTGTTCAATGAAGTAATTTTCACTTACAAATATTATCACATTTTATCCATCATCACTATAATTATAAAAATGCAATGTGTTCTAGTTTTTACTACAAATTATATATTATTCATGATTCTTTAATATAACCAAAGGGTGTTGTTATGGTCTCATTTCCGCCTCAGAATAACGAAATAACTTATACCATACAGCTATTTTTGGCTGTCGGTGTGCGCGCGCGTAGTAAATATTTACTTTCATATTTTTTCCAAACGTACCAAAACAAGTATAACTTCAAAAATGTAATATATAAGTATAATACAAATGTCTCATTTTGAACAAAAATTAGAATTAGACCAAAGCTTGTCGTCTCACAAGTTGTATTAATTGTAATTTTTTTATCTTATAAATATATTTTCTTATCAGGCACACAGTCCACTTTCAGAATATGTAAAGAAAAGATAAAATCGTATGACATAATTTTTTTCGTTATTCTGGGGCGGAAATGATGCCTTATCGATACTCTTTGATATAAATTTTAAGACTCCCTGCTTGATTGACAGACATAAAATATGTATAATATATTATTAGGAAAAATGTGTTTAATGCAAAGACGAATAGGAATGGTAATAAGAGAACCACCAAGGCGTCCTCTAATACACTAAAAACATTTATATAAGAAGTTTGATAACACTATACATGCAAAGGCGACAATGCTATGAATATATTCCTTTAAGAGCTATATAAACGATAAATAGACTTAAAAATTAAAATGTGCGCAACAATTTTAATATATTATAAGTAATAATAATAAATTTATTTAAATGTAATTTATTGGGAAAATCTTTAGATTTATACAATTAATAAATTATATAAGTTATTATTTCTAACATTAGACATTTTATGACATTATCGTAATAGAAAAATTACAGACGGCAGTTACTGGTTATATATACTACATACGGAACCCACATTTTACAGCTAATCTTGTACAGTAATATTTTAATATTTTATATTTATTACATTTTATAGTCAGCTTAGATTCGAACTGATAACTCGAATTTTCATACTATATTATATGTATGTATGTAACTGCACACTTTAAATACATTTTTTATCTGCATCGGTTAAAAAAGAATTAGCGATAAATTAGGAAGCTGTAAATCGCTATATGATAAAAAACGATAGCACCTTTCGACTAAGCTGATATACAAGGTTTTGTGACATTTAGAAATAACACTACTTCATCGCTTATGAAAATATTATGGTACACACAAGAAGCTGAGGATATTATGTAATATATAAATAATAAATTGTAACATTTATATATGCAGCGAAAAATATATTATATTAATGTAATCTTAACACAAATCAAACTAAGACAATTATTGTGGTATCTTATTATTCTCTTTACATAATCTTATCGTACGTTCAGATCTAAAATAAATATGACGCAAAATACTCATTTTGGCAGAAAAGAAATAGTAATTCTTATTTAAACAAATATGTAATAGACAATTGTAATTTTTTTTTATTTTAAAATATTAATTTAACAAAGTCATTTTTATTTTTTATTGAAATTCAGCTTACATTATAAAACTTCTTGAAACTACAAACACAATTAGCCTCATTGCAAGCAATATGGAGAAATAATTTGGTATTTAATACAGTTTCACTCAGCATTTTCATATTCATCATCTTACAAAACTATGGAGATTAATCATTTTAATAATACTAATAATAATTTAAAGTATAAAACTTTGTATAGAGTTTAAGTTGGCCTTATACTTACACAGCTTCCCAAGAATTAAATACTAAAAAGCTGTGCACGTTAAACGAAAAGAAAGAAAGGGAGAAAGAAAACTGCTAGAGATTTTTGGAACGAAGTTCCTTATCGCACGTTATACTCTACACACAAAAAATTGTAATATTTTTACCGTCACGACACTTTTTAATCGACTGCCAAAAAGGAAGAGTTATTTATTTACTAAGAGCAGCCCATTTGATAGTGATAGATAAGTGTTAAGGGTGGGTTTCAAAATGCATGGTGTACTTGCTTGATGTGTATGGTACAATACAATTTTTAATACCTAATTTATGAGCCAAGGACAGACGACGAAAGGAACTTCTACCAGGTATCCCACGATACTTTTAAGTTTTTTTTTTTTCAAATTTTTGTTAATTGTCTGTGGTAAGGTAAAATTATTGAATCCCTATTACTATGACACTTTATCTAAATTTCGATCAAATATAAGGAAATTAATGATTTACTATTTAGCATTCAATGAAAATAATTAATTAAAAAATAAATGTGGACTTCGAGATTTGGAAGAATTTCTCAAAAAAAGTATATGAAAATAATACTAATGTTTATCATTATTTATGCGCTTCATTGTATTCATTCTTTATGTCAATCGCATTTTCATATACCTCTACAAATCAATTCACGTATTCATGGTCTGAATATTTTTTTTTTAATGCTCAATTTGAATAAACCCAGTATATGCTATTAAAATATATTTTTACATTACCTACAATATACATTATGGTACAAATATTACAACAAAGTCAACAAGAATATTAACAATGGACTCGATAACTTTATTTAAACAAATACGAGCGGATATTACACTTGTCAATACAGATTAATTGTAAACATTCTTGAAATTCAAATAAAAAATATAATACGTTTTTACCTTTGGCGTGAAACATCTTTAAAATCACTATCACACTTTAAAATCACTATCACATTTTAAAATAGTCAGAAATAGGTTGCATAGGTTGCCATAGTAATTTGTTGTCATTGTTATTGTATGAAAAATTATATATAATATTCTTTCCATTGCTATGTTCAAAGATTAGATTTTTACTAGTTTGTTTTCAAATATGCAAAATATTTAAAATTACTACTACACTATATTTAACTCAAAATAAAAATAAAAAACCTGACTGCATAAAAGCTAACTAAAAAGATTTAATCAAGTTCACGAAGGAATATAGTATTATGCAATCGGTTTAGAAAATATTAAATAATGGCAACTTTTCATTATATTATTTATGAAGAATAAAAAAGATATAACTGTATTGTCAAGTGTAATATTATGAATATTATTTTAGAATTTTTAATTTAATACCATAGAAGCAGATCTTGATCCAACGGTGAAGTCTTTGTATTGAGAGAAGACGCACAGCTGTAAAAAAAATTACATATTGTAATAAATATTTAAATAAACATTAACCAAAAATAAAGTTTAAACAGTCCAAATAACTGTTGAATCGACTAATTTTTACATATTTTTTATGTAAATATCACACGATATCTTCTTTAATAATTTTAAATTGATTTCTATGTATGAATATAAATAAAATTTTTAATAAAATTTAAATTTGTGAGTAGGCACTGTCTATAACAATTACATATTGCCTTTTGTGACATTTAAAACCTTAGTCTCTACCGTGACCATGATTGCTGTTTGTGCATTTGAAACGTCGGGAACCAAGAATCAAAATAAATCCGAGAAAAAATCCAAAAAGACAGTTTTATTTAAAACTACAAATATTCGCGTAAATCTAAGACAGCATTAGGTATATGAAAGTATTTTAAACAACAATTACAATTAAAAACTTTTTCTTTTTAATGAATTTGTACCTGACGGGTATAGAGATTAGAGAGTTATACAATATACATCATGAATGAGATATATATACCTACCTACTCATATAAATTACACCATAATTATAACTTATTGAAGCTGCAGTATTACTTAAATTGATGGGAAAATATAGAAGTTATGAAGAAGAGAAAGGAGTGTTCAATTCATTCGTACATTAATCAAGTAACATTCGGTGTTCATCGTAGTTATGTAAAAACTAAAAATACAAAAGAATGATTGCTCGTAGGCCAATCAGTCTTTCACGCAGATAGAAACGTCGGTAATTACGTGTTTTTTGTGTATTTTATGGATCTTAAAATAAATCAAAGACTACTTTTTCCGGTAAATGAAATAATTCGCACGAAATAGTTCTCTATTAGTCCTCTCATAAGGATCACTTTATCTTAAACCAGATTTTAGTAAACATCACATGATCAATTCTAAAAGTCCCACGTGTAGGGATGAACCTGCGACCTTCGGCGCGATAAAAAGTGCCAATGAGCCGCATGTTATGACGTTAATAATTGTTAGTACCAGATGATAAAATGATCACGTAACAGATAATTTTATACTTCGTTAGAATTACTCTTGTATAACAATAGGTTAGACTCATCTAGAACTCGACTCCGCCCGCATTGTAAGCGGGGCAGTCAGAAATTTGATGCTGCTTCTAGATCATGCAAGACAATAATGGCCACGACAAGAGACGATCATATCAGAGACTTCTAAGCCTTCCATCTGGATCGCGTGCTTTTTGGGCTCTGACCAAAGCTGCGGAAGGAAACTGTCGATTATCCAAACGAACCCTGTGCAAACCGGATAGCTCGCTGGCACATTCTGCAAAAGAGAAAGCAAATCTCCTGTGCTCTTTTTTTGCATCGAATTCAACTCTTGACGACGAGGTATTAACGCCGCCTACCAACTCGCAGTGTGATAGCCCAAAGCATGCTTCACACAACGTGAAGTGCGTCGAGCATTTATCTCCCTAAATGGAAAGAAGTCCAGCCGGCCTGACGGTATTCCGGCCATTGTACTTAAAACGTGTGCTCCAGAGTTGACACCGATCTTAACCCGCCTGTTCACTCTACTCTACTCCGTTAGCCAAGTCCCGTCTTCTTGGAAGGTTTCCATTTTTGACCCTATTCCCAAGAACCCGTCCAATTACCGGCCCATTGCGATAAAAAAACCCATTCACTATAGTGCCAAAGTTCCAGAACACTCCTCTTAACTATCTATAAGAGTATCAGGATCTTAGGGGTCGAAATATCGAGCGACGTCCAATTTAGATGTCATCTGGAAGAAAAAGCCAAATTGGCTTCCAAAAAAAAAATGGATGACCTTAACAGAGCGAAACAGTATTTCACGTTAGGGCATCGCCTTTAGCTCTATAAAGCTATTTGAATCCATCCAACGCCGGGCAGTTCGTATTATCGACGATCCCATACTCACAGACAATTTAAAACCTCTAAGCCTTCGGAGAGATGTTGGCTATATGTGTGTTTTTTATCGTCTTTACAATGGAGAGTTCTGATGAACTTTTTGATTTGATGCCACCGTCATGCTTCTATCATCGCACCCTTCGCCGTCGGGTAGGATGTCATCCACTCATTTTAGACGCTTGACATCCTACAAATGTACGTGGATCTCGTTCTTTTTTACCTCGCACTTGCAAAATGTGGAATGATCGTCCTCCTGAGGTTTTCCCTGAGCACTATAACATGGCGGTTTCAAGAACCGTGTCTTCAGGTACCTTAAAAGCCGGCAACGCATACGCAACTCCTCTTGTGTTGCAGATGTCTATGAGCGGCGATAGCCACTTAACATCAGGTGGATCGTTTGCTCGTCTGCCCTTTTTTCTATAAAATAAATAAATAAAAAGTAGGTACATATATCCGTGGCCATGATGCATTCTATCTTTGTCAAATTTCATCGACACTTCAGGAATTTAGTGTGAAAACCTAAGAAACAGGCAGACAGTTATTTTAATATTATTAAAATTAATTTCGATTCTTACAAATCCGTATGTAATATACCTACAGTAATAAATAATTATTAGTTATTATACCCGATAATAGGTCACGAAGTTTACAATAATATATTAATAAATTAATTATCTATTCACCATTAGCTACACCTCGCTATAAAATATTGTTACATACTAGATAACCTAAGGCCTAAGCTGATCGCTATATCTTGCTTTATCTATGTATATTAAACTAGCAACTCACCCTCGCTTCTCTCGGGTTCGTCCCTAGGTACGTTTTAACGGTAAGTATAGAATAGACTATATATACATAGTCTGGCCATAAATACTGTTACATTATTAAAAAGAAACAAAATATTGCATTTTAATTTGGAATCCGTCATTTTTATATGATTGTTCATTGTGTTTTCTCATTTTCGCGCCAATACATTGTAAAATATTTTGTGATATTAAAATGGGAGTGGGGTTATAAAGAGAACCGAATCGCGTTTTATTATAAAAAATAAAATAATTATAAGAAATAAACAATAAGTCTTATATAAATATTGTTCAATTTTAAAATAATCAGAAAAACAAAACATAACCCAAGTGCAAAATGCTTATAACTCTGTTGGTACTTTTACGCACATGGTGTTTTTTGCATAACTGGGTCCAATTTTTTAAACTCTCCATACGCTTGGTACCTACTAGTAAAATGTTTAAAAGAATGCGTGCTTTTATTAATAACTGGCCTCAACGTTTAAAGGACTGTATTGCAGCCAATGGAGACCACTTCAAATAAGCTTTACATATTTTTAATGGTTTTATATTAATGTATTAAACTAACACACTGTAATAGTAATAAATGTTACGTGCAATAGAAAAAATGTTTTTTTCTTTGTAACAATATTTATGGCAAGACTATGTATGTATATGTATATATATATATATATATATATATATACACCACTCATCCCTCACCCTCGTTTTACTCGGGTTCGTCCCTAGCTTGATCCCCATACAAACATTCATCCCCATTTTCACCCCCTTAACACATTCAATGCCACCACAATTTTCATAGACTTCATCGAAATGCCGCCATACTATAATACCAACATGATAGGTATTAGTCATTTTTTTATAAATATATATATTAAATGGAAAACCTAACGTAACCCTTTTAGCTCCGAATGAAGTGGACTTGACCGACATACTAGAGATGTGTGCTCATCTTATCTATAAGCTTTTAGTATATGTAGAGCGAAACACAATATAAACACTGTCAGTTAGTTTGCTGTTGCGTAATCAAAATTATAGTGCAGTGGCAGTGTAAAAGTTACTAGGTTCGATTACCGCAGAATGGATTTATTTATAGCTATTCGTGTCCATATATGTTTAAAAGTCAATTTAGAGAATATGTAGGATGATGTATGGAACGCGTATATATTATTGTCAATAATTAATAATATTAGGTATGTTAAAATATAGTAGGTATTAAAACAGGTATAGTAGCGAGCTGCGAAAATCAACTACATCAACACATATGTATGTATGTATATATTTTAATATTAATCAAGTTAAATACAAATAAATGAAAATGTTGAGATGTTTGTTTCTTTAGATATACCTACCTACAAATAATATTATACGAATTTAGATAAACTTTGGCATACAGATCTAGACCACGTATTCATCCAAATAGTTAGATTTCAATATCTAATACGATATTTTCAAACTACAGTGTTGTTAACATAACAACACTTTAATGTATACATCGATAATTTTAATTATTGATATTTTTAAAAACAAAAAAATATTGCCATCTAAATGTGGCACCATTGAAATAAAAACAAAGAAAGCATGACCCGAAACGACCGTTATACGAAGTCGCAGTCGAATCTATATAACATAAATCGTATTAAAATAACAAACACAAAACTTTCTTAGATTTACGCGAATATTTGCCACTTTAAATTAAATAAAACCATCTTTTCGGGTATTTTCGCGGATTTATTTTGATTTTAGGTGCCCGACGCAACGTTTCGAATGTTTTACAGCAATCATGGTCACGGGAGAGACTAAGGAGTTAGACGTCTCAAAGATCATTACATAGTTGTTACAATCACCCTTTTTGTGGGTAGGTGGTACAGGCCAAATCAAAAATAAGTGAAAACCCACCTTATCTTTAAGCTGCTGACACATATGCAATGCTGCCGTCAACATGAACAGCACATCGCTGAGCCAAGGCACCGCGCAGTCCGCCTGGCACGAGTCTATGCGCATAGTGCCGTGCACCGAACTGAGCTGGTACGCCACGAAGATCAACTTGTGGGACTGGATGTAAAAGGATATCGCCAAATCTTCTGGAAGGTTCGGTGATAGAGCCTTCTGGAAGAGAATTTATGTTTGGTCTTTGATTGTTGGGCTTTCTATTGGTGATGGGGATGTCGACAAGTACGTTATTAGTAGTGTAATGTTGATAGTGAGCATGTTTCCGAGAAGACAAGGGAAGAAAGTGCTGTGTGAAAGTGTATCGGGTCAGCTAGCTTATCATATTATTATAATAAAATAGTTAATATTTGCCTATTTAATGTAATTTACGCATAATATTACCTGGTTTACAGCTCTACATTCAACATATTGTCAGAATGGCACAGATACAATAGGAGTACCAAGTACCTACTATACTTATTAGTAATACAAGAAGTACAATATCCGTTTGGATACAAACTGGCACATGGTCAATAAAGAATATAGGGAATACCCTCAAAATAGGTTTTTTTTTTATTTTAATTAATTAAAAATTCCTATAAATATATCATAAGCAAGCCCTTTAATTTGCTAACATAAAATAGACATTAGACACTAGATCTGCTAACATAAAATACACATACACTCGAGTCTCATTGTAGAATTTATACCACCACAAGAAATTTTTTTTATCCCTGCCGATAAAGAATGGGATTAAAAATAAAGACTTATTGAGACTACTGTTAGCAAAATACATTTCAAGCGACAGTAAGTTATTTAGGTAAAAATGTTATAAAAATGCATATCTCATACAAGTTTAGTAAAAAGAATATTGCTAATAAATAATAAAAAATATAAATATGCTAATTTCAGATGTCATTTGGCAACAATTCTGATTGTTTTAAAACAAGGCATTATTATTTTTAACATACATTAATCAATCTTCATTAATCTCAAAGCTTGTGAAATAAAATTATGTCATAAAAATATTATAATAAATTCATAATTTTTCTGCTATCTGTACCAGTGGGTGTGATCCAGTGAGAAGTGAATAGAGGCAACACAATTAGTATTAGGTCATATTTTTTCATAGTTTATCTACACAAATTATACTTGTAATATTGTCAAATCTAAATGATAAGGATCATGTGACACTTTTAGGTCGAAAGCTAAAATCAGACTTGTTTATATAATAATACTCACTATTGGAATGAATGTCTAATTATTTATATCTATACATATAATAATATTCTAACTAAGCCAAATCTGTACATTAAATATTTTTTTGAAAATCTTATTGAAATAGTCATTATTATCGATACAGAGGCCGAATCTATAGTTTTCAGAATTTTTGTCTGTCTGTCTGTTACCGCATCACAGAAAAACCTCTGGAGGGATTTTGATGAAATTTGGTATGGTGGTAGCTGGTTATCCGGGTCAACATATAGGATACTTTTTACCCCGGAAAATATCTCATTTCTGAGAAAAAATACAAAAACAGCAATGTAAGAGTATACTAATATGTAAAACCTAAGGATTTAGTTTTTGGTTATCAGAACGCGGGCGGAGCCGCGGGAAATGCTAGTAAATGTATAAACTCCTTTAGGTTGAAAGTCAATAAGCCTCTTGATTAGAAATTCTTTTAAAAATAGCTTAAAAAACTAAGAGCTGCAAGAACTTAGGACAATAAAGTCAATTAAAAATTTTGTGTTGTTCGTTTTATTTTAGAACAGTCAAGTTATTCCCGAGTAAACTATAACATAGGTAGAATTGAAGCTTCTATTTTTCTCTATATTAATATAATGGTATATTTTAGTTTGCTGCTCTAAAAACTATAAAAAATTATAAACCTCTTACCATATTCCTGCTCTTCATTAGCTCATCAATAGCTTTTTTCTTAGGTAAGACTAAGGCAGTCCGTGCTCTTTGTAATGAACCTATTAAACACTGTATGATGTGCAATACCTCTTCTGACGATCTGTAAGAATATTAAACAAATTGACATACCAACGTGTATAGCATGTTATATAACAAATATTCTTCATATAATATATTGCACAGAAATATAATCTACTAGCAGAACCCGCGACTTGGCTCGTGTTAAAACTTAAAACTAATTAGTACAGGTACACCCCCCGCACGCCCTGCACCTTGTGACATGTGCCCGTCTACCATGCCGTGGAGGCTTTTCGAAGCCCTATTTGACTCTGTTGGGGGATGATTTTGTAAATACTGTGATACAAATGTCTCATAATTTTAATTGAAGAGTATTATTTTTATATTTTTGAGTTAAACGACCCAGAGAATAAAAAAAATCATAGAAAATTCAATCCTCCATTTCATCCTCTAAGGGGTGGATTTTTTAAAAACTCTATTCTAGAGGATACCTACATTTCATAAAGAACACAACCTCCAAATTTCTTGTCTCTAGGACCATTGGTTTAGGCTATACATTGATACATCAGTTGGTCAGTGAAGACTTAGTGTATATTTTAATATTATAAAGAGGTAAAGTTTGTGAGTTTGTGACGTGTTAGAGGGTAATCTCTGTATCTACTGAACCGATTTATATGAAATTTGGTTAGAAGATAGTCTGAGACCCTGGGAAGAACATAGGATACTTTTTATCCCTGAAACCCTTTAGGGGGTGAAAATGGGGATGAAAGTTTGTATGGGGAAACAAGTTTTATTTATATAGATCGATCAATGTAAGTTGATTAAATAACAAATGAATTAGTGAACAAATTATAGTAGTTCTATTAATTGTTTTTAACTGATTCGTTATACTAGTGACTGCTTGTAGCTTTGACTGCTTAAGTTTAATTTTCCAGGATAGAAAGTAATCTATATATTAGTACAGTTAGGACTTCCTGCTAATAATATACTCGTAAATGTAAAGGTTTGCAAGGGTGGACATTTGTCCCCCTTTACGCCAGAACGGTTCAACGTATCTGGATGTTTGGCACCTCTATAATTTATTATAGTTTGGAATAGCACATAGGTTATTTTTTATCCCGGAAAAAGTATTGTTCCCGTGGAATAATTTGTTTTTGTCTAGGGAAGAATCTGAAGCGAAGCGAGGGTGAGTCGAGTTCGAGTGATTCTCTATAGATGCAAACCTTCATTAAAATCAATTTTATTGTTTTATATATTATGGTTAAATTAATAAATTATTGCACTTTTTTTGATTTTTATTCATAACACAGTAACTATAGAATATATAAATATAAAGAGTGAATTTTAACTCCAGTATCAGTTCTATATTTTCCATTGTGTCAAGACAATGTAATTTATATAAATTTAACATTTATTATGATTATATAATATATAACATATATTTCATATATATAATATATATTTCATATATTTAAAATATAATATATATTTCATAGTTTTTATCAACTGCTGCCTTATACTATGACGTTTTTTGATGCATCTTCCATAATATTTTAAATTCCCTTGTGTCAAAAGGTACAAATAGCATAATAGATTTAGTAACAAAAAGGAATTCCGTAACAAAAAGTAAGATAAGTGATTAACAAATCTCAATATTTATTTTCAGTTGATAAACAATTAAATTCTGGCTATCAAACAAACACAAAGAATTATAATATTTTTTCATATTATAGATCGTATAACTTAAAATTTTATCATCTAAACAGGAATATTCTTATCTTTTAAAAATATTACTGACTTATCTGTATGCACCTTTATATCTATATCTATATAGATAAATAAAATTGAAGCGTCTGTTTGTAATTTCACAAACTAAATATATATGGTACTTATTAGTATATCATGGTATGTCTGTCCATTTGTTCTGGCTAATCTCCGAAATAGCTGGACTGATTTTGACAGGACTTTCAATGGCAGATAACTGATGATATAAGGAGTAACTTAGGCTTCTTTTTTTTTAAAAGGAATTAAGGTTGTGCTCGAAAAAATTAAAACATACCTGGAGTTGCACACGAGCAAAGCGAGGGTAAGTCACTAGTACAAAATATAGTAACTTACCTAAACACATAATGTTTATCAACATTATCTATATAACCAATAGCCTGCTGTAGGTGATTAGCAGCATCTTGTATCTGCTGGAGTTTCCAAGGTCCATCCTGATTTATTGATGTCCTACATATTGTATGCATTTGCCTTAAGACTTTGAAGCTAATATCCTACAAATAAGATAGAGGTTTTATAAAAAAAATCCATAATAGTGATTAAGAAAGTAAATGTTTCATTTAAATGGTTATCATAAAGAAATAACAGTCATCACTTACAGCATGTGTAATACTGTCTCCTGTTAAAGTAACAATACATTTTAGCTGCTCAGGTTGTGATGACAGCATAAATTTATCCTGCTTCTGCCCCTCATTTCCATACAATGGTACAGGGAATCTATGTGCACATTCCTGAGCATGAAGTGTTATAGTATTGTTAATTTACATTTGAATAGGTGTAGTTAAATCTGATACTAATTTTGAAAAATAACCTGTTTTATATAATTCATTTTAAAACAATAGGTAACTAAAATAAAAACATTTATAAAATTACACATACAAACTATTCTAATGAAAAGTTCTAACTTAAATATTAATCCACTTTAAATAATACTCACCACTAACACTGAATGGAGCTGATGTAATATAGCATGAACTTCCTCACGAAGAACCCATTCAAACTCCTCTTTCTAAAATAAATTAATGTATTGTATGAGTAAGTGAATAATGGTTAACTGAACGTAACACTGTAATGGATAAGGTATAAATAGAAATACGTAGTTCCAACCAAATTTGCAGCCTCTTCTTTTTCGTTGTCATTCATTATAATTAAATTCTTTTACTATTTTTGTATCAAAATATCGTATTTTTAAAAAATGAAAAAACTTCACAATGTAAATGTCCCCGTAATTATTAATTTAGCTTTAATGACTAATGTTGCTAGATAGAAAGAATTAAAGTCCCTGAAAGTAGATAATTTTAAGGCTGTTGCTGTTCGCCCGATAATAATCGGGTGAATAAAACATATTATAATATTATTCTTCCGGCTATGTCAGCTTGTAATAGAATCTACGATTTTTTTTTGTTTTCTAATGTAAAATAAGTGATTTTTAGATGCAGGAGTTTATTTATGCAAAAAAAAAACGAAAAAAGTGCGTGTAACAGCGTGTACACGCCAGAAGTGAAACTTATTTATACATCGGTATTCGGTACTTTTTAATTTTTATGAAATCCAATTTACGTTTTAAATAATTAGTATATGAAAGATACTAAAAAAATATTTTTAAAGATTTAAAAAGGAAAACAATATTTTATTATTCACATAGTAAAGATGGTATTAAGATAAAGCTTAATTTTCATTCAAAAGTTATAATGATTCAATAAATTATATATTCCAATAAAATAAATAATAATATAGGAATATGATTTTTTAATGAAACAAGAAATACATTTTTATAATATATAAGAATTTATTTCTAGTAAATAATTTTTAACAATATTCATTTGATTTGATTCCATCGGTCATTTAAAAAATAAGTGAAAGAAATATTTTTTATAAATATCTATTTTCATTTAAATAAAATATTCGTACGATAGTTTAAATAAGAAGTTTAACTTCCGTAACGTAACGGACCGGCGTAAACGTTTCCCCTTAAAAAAATCGTATCGTCAATCCTTTTTTCCCTTTCATGGCGCGCTTATAGTAATTTCACTTTATTAACCTTAACCTACCGAGCTGAAAACTTGTTTTTTTAGATCCCAACAAATTTTAAGTTTAAGAGTTTTACGTGGAAAAAAAAAGGCGCCCTAACCTACGTAGCTATAAATACATTTTATTAAGAGAATAGTACTGGGTCATAATAAAAAAAGATAATTCGAACATATCCGGCGATAAAGATATAGTCGGCTGAATAATATATTTTTTATTCATACGAGTATCGGATGAATAGACACTTCCTAATTTTAAAATGGGTAATTTAGAAGTGATTATAATTTACTCACGTTAAATCAATAAAAAATATTGCTACTTCTCTAGTATATTATAAATTATTATTATAAATATTTTTACATCGTTTGTAGTTACGCTTAAATGACTCAACATATTTGTAGACAAATATATGCCCTTAACACTAATCGTAAATAATCTTATAAATAGACTGACCTTCTTTTGTTACAATGTTACGTTTTAATCGGTTAAATCAATTTTGGAATAGGCTGTCTGGGCTTTATTTCGGGTTCAGCTTGACTTGGCCACTAAAAACGTTCTTGATAAAGTTCTAAAAAATAATAATATTGACATAACAACTGTAAATGTAATCAGTGATTTAAAAACTTAAATCTCTTATTATATTACTCTAAAATGGTATTTCCTAAAGTATTACAAGCTATCTATACTAAATTAGAGATAAAGTGTCGTGAACGAGGAATTATAGCAGGGTAACAATCCGTGTATAAAAATCTGGCTTCTTAGATGTAACACCACATAAGTGTAATGCTATACGTGTTAATCCAGTAACTGTATGAATATTGAATAATATAGAATTATTTGCTTAGAATTTTTTTTAGTTACGTAAACGAATTGCAAAGATTTATTCTTTTAATCAATGTTAGCTCTCGTGGTAGGTTTTTTATTTTGAAATCAGAAACCCTTATTTACCCATAGTCCTTCACATTAAACTCACTCTAAAAAAAAACAATATATTATTTTTGTAGTTGTTAATAAGCGATAGTAACGCATTATGTTCGTTTAACATTAGAATATGACAGCTGAAGCTACTGGATTAATAAAAATATATGAAATTCGTACAGTTACTGGATAAATGGGTTCAGCCTAAATGTAAATACAAGGTATATTTACAGTAATTTTTTTTCAGAAAATCCGGACGACACATGAAATTTCCATATACTATGTCAGCAAAAATTGCTCAGTTTCCTTATTTTTACTATTTAAAACACAATAACATCTGGATGTATTATCCTTTGGGATTTTTAGTTTCACTATATTTTTTTACAAAAATTCATGCTATGGCAAATTCTGAATCAAATATTAGATCTTGGGCTGAAATTCAACGAAAAGCAGCCGAAAAAGAACATCACTAATGGCATTGAATTATATTGCAATATAAAATAAATGTATTACACAAAAAATAAAAGAAGTGACTCTGAATAGTTGTTTTTATACATTTTAACAGTAATCTTTAAATATACGAAATAAAATTTAAATAAAACACTATGCATTTGATTTTAAGAACGTTAATTATATTCAATTTTATTAAGAACTATTTTTTTATTATCATGGTTAGCTGAGATTCTTAAGATATGGAGTACTTTACAAAATATGTTTTTATTATTAGTTCCTTGATATTTGTCCACGTTGTATTTATGATTCAAATATTTGCACTTTCAGTCACGATTTATTTAAATTAACTTTAACGCTTAGTATGGAATAGATAGACTATATATTATTATATAGCCCATAGCCCTCCTCAATAAACAAAAAACATAATAAAACAAACAAACAAATAAATAAACTTTGCCTCTTTATAATATTAGTATATTATTATAGATAAATGAAACTGTCATTTTTTTCCTAATTAAATAATTCCGAATAATTTACGATTCTCGTTAAAAATATAATATGGGTATAATAATAGGAGTGATCTATATACATTATACTAGCAAGACATTTCAAGAATTAACATGGTAATTGGTAAATTAGGTTGCGTACATAGTAACCCTAAGTTAAATTTGTCAAAACTCAAAGCATAGATGTCAAAGTGTCAAAAGAAAGATAGAAATTACTATTCCTGCGAATAAAATCTTGTTTATTTCATTTTATTAAATCGCATTTCCGAAAGGATAAAAATCTTATGATAGATATGAATAGCTATGTTTGGTTTTTATCTAATTAATAATTACGAAAATGTGGGTAAAACCTCAAGAAATATTTTTGAAAACTCCTCTGTGGTAATAAGATTGTTTATTTATTTGTTGCTTATCTTTTACGTATTTTAATTTGCTTTGTCTTAGATGTTTTGGTTTGGTTCAACTTAAACTAATATATATTTATTCGCAAATAGGGACAACGATGAAAGCTCATTGTATTTTGTTCTTCAAAGAAGAAAGGGGCATGGTAAATCAAAGGGTTTTTCGTCACTTCTTGTGGGTACATTAGATAGTGTACGTGACACAAAACCAGCTCCGTATAGAATTTTACATCAAACGCCAAATTCTGAAATTTACTATGGTAAGTTTATAGTTTTTGTTTAATAAAATATAATAAAACAAATATATTGATATAGCTGTTTGTATTAGTATTATTTGTAATGAGTGACATGATAATAAATGTTCATACTTTTTTATAGTAATCGCTACAGCTTTGACTGAACAAGAAATTCAACAAGATTGGCAATGGCTTTTTGATAATGTTTCTCCAACTTTGCATTCCTTTGACACAGAGGAGGAAGTTACAGAATTCGTTTGCTGCAAAATTAATTCAATTATTGCCACAGAACAAGAAAATTTTACTGAAGGTAAATAGTAAGCATCAATTTTTAAGAAATATATTATTATTATTCAAAGTAATATCACATATTCCTCATATAATAAGTTATAAAATATAGTATTGACAATATATTTTCAGATGAAGATACTATTATGTATAAAAATGCAGATTATGAATTTCACCAAAGATTTTCTATGCCAAAGGATGAAAAGTTGGTGTGGTATTATTCTTGCAGGTAATTTAATATTTTTAAAATTTCAACAATTTTAAATTGAGAATTTAATAAATAACTATTTACTTAGAACATTAAAATTTTAATAATTAAGATTATTTTCTTATTGTGCTAAAATAAAGTTTGTTTTTTTTAAAGTTACTGGAAAGGCAAAATGCCTCGACAGGGGTGGATGTACCTGTCTGTTCACTATATGTGTTTTTATTCATACATTTTTGGACGGAAAACTGCATTAAAAATTCGTTGGGCTGAAGTCACAGAACTTGCTAAGACAAATGGCATATTATTCCCAGATTCTATCAAAATAGTGACTAGGGACAGTGAACACTACTTTACAATGTTTTTGAAGAAGAATGAGACTTTTGCTCTTATGCAGCAACTAGCCAATATTGCAATGAAACAGTATGTATTATTTTTACCTTATTATATTTTTACTTTAAAATTCTTCTCTATGAAAATCCCTTTCATTATAAATTATTAAAGAGTAACTTATTGTTTATAAGTAGAGACTGGATTACATGCATTTGCATATTTAGTTTAGTTTTGAACCTTTGTATCTGTATACATATATATTGATAGTTTATTAATGCGATGGGTGAACTGTTGCCAGAAACAATAAGTGCTAACATAGCACCCAAATTCGAATACATACTGCCCAGTTACCTCAGTGGATGTGAAACAGTCTTTTTCCACTTATAAAAATATTTCAAGTGATCGAAGGCACAATTTTAGTACCGAACATTTTTAATTTACTGTTGATATCTTACTAATTTTATGTGATTTTAAAATAAAATGAAAATCGGTCAAGTGCAAGTCGAATTCGCACACGAATGGTTCCGTACCACCATACATGTGCTTTTTATTAGTATGGTTTTTTTTACCCTATGTATTTAGTATATTAACTTCAATAATCGATTACGAACGTTAAAAAAATATCTCTTGTATTTTTTATTTTTATTATTTGCTGTCATAGCAACAATAGAAATACATACTCTGTGATAATTTCAACTCTCTACCTATTACGGTTCATGAGATACAGCTCTCTGACAGATGGACGGATGGACAGTGAAGGCTTAACAATAGGGTTCCGTTGGCACCCTTCGGGTACGGAACCCTAAAAAAATTAAAGACTTATTTTTTTATTATTTAATGTTGCATATTTTGACACTTTTCATGCATGTTTGCATGCATATTTCAATCTTTTTATGTTGCATATAATTCGGTCTCTATTTATAAGAAAGCTATGCTTAATGGACTCCACACTATCTTTATATAATATGATTCTGTAATATTATGTGAATAAAATATAAGAAAATATTCAAGCATTCAGAATCTCATTTAAAACTAATTAATATGTTGTGGATGTTTTTACTGTAGTTAATGTTTATAATTATGAACTAATGAATTTCACTCGGATAAAGATAAGACTACACAAGTTGTAAATGTTAACATTTTTGTCTCTCTATACTAGCAGAACACAAAGAACTAAGTAAAATATCATTACACTATATATGTACTTTCTCCTAGAAGCGAAAGATTATAAAGAATTCATAAATAATGTACATATTATGTGTTTATTGCATTTAATATTTATTTCGCGTCGAATTCTATATCGTGACCTCAGATTTACAAGCAGGCATATGGATAAGTGACCCTGCTGTCATGTTGTAAGGAAATTCTTGCATCGATGACTCACGCTTTTTTCGTATAGAATAATATCAGTTACGCAGTACCTAAACCAGACTAGCTACTATTACGTATTTCAAAAGCGATTATAATCATCGTAATTAATATCAACAATAATGCTATTTAATTATTTAGGCACTCATAAATTTATGTTAGATAAGTACATGTATGGCTAACTCTTAGCACCTCGCTTCATGAACTAAAATTTTTTTACTCAAAGTTATACTCGATGTTAATAGTTAAAACGCAAATCGTTGGCAAGTTTTATAAATGGTAATGTGGTAATGGTAATGGTAAGTTTTATAAAAGTATAGGTGTTATCCATGGTAAGCTACGAGGCTTGTGTTATGGATACCAGATAGTTGATACACTACACATATATAACTTTAAATACATAAATAAAAACACCCAAGACTGGAGTACAAACATTCGTGCTCATCACGCAAATGAGTGCCACCAGCGGGACTTGAACCCGCGACCGCTGGCGCAACAAGTAGGGTCACTACAAACTGAGCCAAGCGTGTCATCGATATTGTACATAATATGTATATATAAGATAATATAGGTATTTTTCATTGCCTGACTAACAATTGATATAATTAAATTATTTAAAAACATATGTAGCACAATTTCTTTTGAAAAATCCTATATGCGACCTTCGATTAAGTAACGCCACATTTTTATTACGCAAACAAGCTTTGCAACATATTGCTGTAAATAAATATATTATACGCATTATTTTCAATTATTTTATTTTTATCTCCTCAATAGGTTAATCGACGACAAATCGGGTACGTTCAACATCGATAAGGATTTACTAACAAAACTAAGCAAAAACGTACCAAAGAAGCCATCTTTTCTCAAGAGAGACTTGGATGCAAGGAAACAGTCTAATTTATATACGTTAAGATTTCGTTTGCCGCATACTGAAAAACTCGATGGATCAGAAGAGTGCACTCTCTGGACCCCATATAATAAAAAGCACAATTGGGGAAGGTTGTACTTATCACAGAACTTCATCTGTTTTGATAGTCGGGTAAGTGTTATTTGTTTTAACACCTCCAGGTAAATTTCTAAAAATTTAATTAAATTTCTAAGAAATCTATTCTTAACTGTAACGCCGGCGTGTCCGCGGTCGTGGAGGGATTAATCAATAGTATCAGCGGCTTTCCACTGGACTCGGGGTTTCCTTTAATGCGAGAGGGATCAGGACATAGTCTGCCAACCCGCACTTGGCCATCAGTGCGGGTTGTCGGACTTTACATAGTTATAAATCTATTTTTGAAAATTTGTTGGATTCTCTCAGACTTGTAAATTTTTCTCACGATGTTTTCCTTTCAACCTAAAGAAAAATCGCATAGGTATATAAGAATATTAGAAGTGCGAGACCCGGTGCTTGAATCTTTTGAACTTGGTGGTCCAAAAGAGAGTTACCCGTTGGCTATCACTGCCTTTATGGCATTTATATGTAATTTTAAATAAATATTGATATCGAGGTACATTCTAGAAATATTAAGTGATGAAGACTATAACAACGTAACTTGTTTGCTCTGAATACTAGTTTCTGCTACAGAATAAAGCACTATTGTATCCATACTAATATTATAAATGTGAAAGTGTGTTTGTTTGTTTATCCTGTTTCACGTCGAAACGGTCACGGTTTTGCGTGATTTTTTGTGTGGAGATATTTGGCGGGCTGGAGAGTGTCATAGGCTACTTGTTAGCGCGCGAGATTATCTCATCCCCACGGGCAAACACTTTATAATATAACCCACAGCAACACTTCATACCTATGTATATACAGTCTATCTATTCCACGATAACCGTTAAAGCGTACCTAGGGATAAACCTGAGGGAAGCGAGGGTGAGCCGCTAATTACTTAATACCTAATTGAGAGTCTTTCTCAAAGCGAGTTGATGAAATAAAATAACATTGGGTTAAGTTTGCAATGAATATTTTGATACGAGAGAATATAAGAGTTCAAACATAGTTATAATGTTCGATCGCTCGTTATCCGTTATCGTTATTGCGATAGTGAGTCACAATGTAAATAAACATACCTATTGAATTTCTGCTATAATGCTATTTAATATATTCTAGTACAAAGGTTCAATACACATAAATATTGTTCATGTGATAAAAGTGCTAATTTTCTGCTCTAATTTTAGCCCGCGGCTACGCTCGCATGCTAGCAATATCGATAAAAAAATATGTTTTCACATCGATAAATGTTAATCTATCTTAATTCTGAATTTCATTTGAATCAGTTAAACGTATAGACTATAGAACAATACAACCCACACCCACCTCAAAAAGTTTTCATGCAAAAAATAAATATTATTATTTATTGACATGAAGTATTTAGAATAAAAATATATTATGAAATTCCCATCTGAAGTGAAGCTACGTGTAGAAATTAGTATTAAGTGCACAATTAATAGTTATTGTATTTAGGTATGTACTATAATACTATTACAAAGTTGGCACAGCCATTTACGCAGTAGCAAAGAACATTAATAAAATTAATCTATACATATAATAAAATTGTAACTAAGCCGAATCTGTACATTAAATATTTTTTGGTAAATCTTATTAAAATAAATATTATTATCGATACAGAAGCCGAATCTATAGTTTTTCGAATTTTTGTCTGTCTGTCTGTCTGTTTACCGCTTCACAGAAATTAAACCACTGGAGGGGTTTTGATGAGGTATAGTTTTAGCTGGTTATCCGGGTCAACATATAGGATACTTTTTACTGCGGAAAAATGTTCATTTCTTAGAAAACATCCAAAAACTGCAATGTAAGAGTATACTAATATGTAAAACCCAATAATTTGGTTTTTGGTCATCTGAACGCGGGCGGAGCCGCGGGCAATACTAGTTACATAATATGATAAGGTACAAAAATTTAACATGTACCTAAAATATTCCTAACGTAAAGATTGCACAAGCTTATGATATATTTTATAAAATCGTCGATAGTTTTAATGTAAAACGGCTTCATAGCAACTATTCTGATATTATTCGTCTCTACTGCATGATGTTTAATCCTTCTTCTCCTTTCTACTTTAGAGAGAGTTTTAAGTTTCTGAGGGACTCTTATACTCTTTCACGTCGCTCTAGTCAAACATTTCTCCTTAAAATTACTTCTAACTCTACCTGTTTCCTCAACAATTCTTTCATAGTGAAAGCTGCACGTTTATGGAATTCTCTTTTATTAGACATTATCTTCCATTAGAGGCCTAAAACTAAAACTAGCCTAAAACTCATGACAGTTTTAAAATACGTTTTTCACTTTATTAGATCTACTTTTATGTATCTATATGTAGGATATATATTTATTTATAGCAAGTATACCGTTTCATAATCAACCAACTAACCTTATTCGTAATTACTCTTATGCCCTAAGTTTGTCTGGAAGATATCGCTTATAGCGATAAGGCCCCCTACTTTGCATCGTCTATTTATGTTTATTTCTTCTTTTTGTATATCTTTCGTGATGTATAATAGTGTTATTATTTTTATAGTATTAAATATTTATTAAATACCACTCTTTATAGGTGCCTCATTTAGTCCGATTAACAATCCCTCTTCGTAACGTGCATCAAGTAGAACGGGCAGACTCGGGCGGCACAGGTAGTTCAGCGGACTCGGGAAGTATTCTAATAACAACATCCCATCACGCTAGCTTCCTATTCGGGAACATTTCCGACAGAAACTTCCTAGTTCAGAAGATATCGGAACTCCTTGCTAAACTGCCTAAGTAAGTGCACTGTAATTTAGGTTTTTTTTTGGGAATGTTTTTTTATAAATAATAAATATTGTATGTATGTATTTTGGCTTGCTTAGATATTTTGTTATGGAAAGTGATATGCAAAAACGATTATTTAATAATGCATGTTGATTGGGCAAATAAATATTGTAGTAGGCGGTCTTACTTTAAAAAATGTTGCTTAATTTATATGCCGCATTAATATATTTTTTGCATCTATTGAAATACAGTATATAACTACTCCAAAGTGCAAAAAAATATACAAAAAATATAAAACATGACATTATCAACGTCCTCAATTTTTTTTTTTTTTGCTTATACCTACTATTAAAATATCAAAAACGATTGATCAATTTGCATTTTGGACTTTCTACAATTCATCATGTTGTGCTATTTTACTAATTTTTGCATTTTTGCAAGGTTGGCATTATTTAACAGGTCTCAAAAGGTCATCATCATCGTTTCATCTAACTTGGAATGTTCGTCGGAGATGCTACTAACATTTGGGCTACGTTTTAATTTTAAGTTTAAATTAATATATTATAACACTTTTCTTGAATTAACAGTGATGTGTACAGGGAAAAACCTACGAAAGCTCTTAATCGAGCTGAAGAAGCGGATTGGACTCCTCAGCCACCTCTAATGATTTTATTCCGAACACACCAAACTTCGACTATCAAACAAATACAACAGAAAAAGGTATATTATGGAGATAATTAATACTGTCTAAACTTCTATACAAAATTAGAAAGTTTCTTTTATGTTTGAACATGCTATTTCTATCTTTTTGCATTTTATATATTATTAATTATTGTTTATTAACGAAGGCAGTTCTATGTTATTAAATAAGCGGCTAAGCGCTAGTTACATATATTTATTTATTTATTGTCTTACTATATATGTACATTATGCTTCTTATTATATATGTACATTATATACCCAATTCGGATATAACACCTTCTTTTTTGAAATCGGTTAATGGTAATACATACTCTTGTATGTTTGCTACTAGAGCACGAATGTCTATACTCCAGTCATGGATGTTTATATTTATAATATGTATGTATTTAAAGTTTTTATGTGTAGTGTATCAACTATCTGGTATCCATAACACAAGCCTTGTAGCTTAACATGGAACTAGATGTTGCTCTGTGTTAATGTCCCATCATATTTATTTATTGAAACTATATATTTATTAAATATTTATAGGAAAAACAATGGGAAGATCACATGGCAGAAGTAGGGCGTGGAGTCAGTATGTACAGAACGACAGAAGGCAGTGAACTGGTAGTGAATGGTATACCGGAATCCCTTAGAGGAGAGCTATGGAGTGTGTTCTCAGGGTCCATATTACAGAAAGTACAAAATAAAGGCTCATATGAACGATGGGTTAATGAGGCCTTGTCTTCCAAAAATACCGCCAATGATGAGATTGAAAGGGACTTGCACAGATCTCTCCCTGAACACCCGGCGTTTCAAAATGATATTGGTATGCTATTTTCATTTCATGAAATGTTAATTATGTAATACTAATAAAAAAATCATAAATTTTTAAGAATGTTTTTATATAATAATAGTTTTAATTTATGTAAATATTTTTAGTATATGGTTTTCGAGTAATAATGGAATATAGGTCACTCCTTTTATAATGTGTAATCAATCATATAATATATTTTTTATCTGTGCAAATATACTTGACAATAGAAAACAAAAATATTTTCTTAGAAAGAACACTATGAAATCTATAAAACGGAATATTTTATCGTTTAAATATACATAAAAATAATCTTTTATATGTATATATGTTATTTTTTAAAAAGTATGTAATAATCAGTTAATATCTAACAGGTATATCAGCCCTACGCCGAGTGCTATGCGCATACGCACTAAAGAACCCCACAATAGGGTACTGCCAGGCGATGAATATAGTGGCGTCCGTCCTCCTCATATACTGCCCCGAGGAACAAGCTTTTTGGTTGTTGGCAACCATTTGCGAGACTTTGTTACCTGATTATTATAATACGAGAGTTGTTGGCGCTTTGGTAAGGATATTTCGATTATGTTTAATCTATAAAGTGTTACAGCCTCGTTGGTCTAGCGGCTAGCATGTACTGCTGCAGATCTGGAGAAACCGAGTTCGAATCACGCGTCCGTCCAAGTTTACTTATTAAATTTTAATTATTTTTTCTGTTAAGAAATTTATATCTTCAGTGAAGATATAAATTTCTGATTTTTTTAAAGATTCTTAAGTAATATTATTTATTCAATTTTAAAACACAAATTCCAAAAAAACATATACATATTTGTTTCTTTATGTGAAATAAATCTTTGTGAGGCGAAGAATAAAAAATTGTCACGTAAAGGCAGTAAGGTGCTGAATGGTAGAATGTACTACCATAATTTGACAAGTTATTTACTTCTTCTTGTTAACCGACCACCAATTCTGAGACTGGTAAAATGACTGAGTAAGTGAATTATAGATTTTCGCTAATAACTCAGTCCGGTGACATGCGAATGAGCCCCAATTTTTCCGATAACATATGACAACAGACTAAATATCTGGCTGCCGGACATCCGATATCCGGCCAAAAAACTATCCGTTTCATCTCAAATGTATTCTATTTCCCTCATTAAAGGTGGATCAAGGTGTGCTAGACGAGTTAACGAAAGCCCACTTACCGGAGCTTCACGCCAAACTGGACGAGCTGGGCATGATGAGGATGATCTCCCTTTCCTGGTTTCTCACTCTCTTCATCAGTGTAATGCCGTACGAATGCGCCGTCAACGTGATGGACTGCTTCTTCTATGATGGCGCTAAAGTTATATTTCAGGTTAGTGACGACACGTTTGGCTCAGTTTGTAGTGACCCTACATGCTGTAGCAGCGGTCGCGGATTCGAGTCTCGCTGGGGGCATTCATTTGTGTGATAAGCACGAATGCTTGTACTCCAGTCGTAGGTGTTTATATTTATAATATGTGTGTATTTAAAGTTATAATATATGAGTAGTGTTTCAACTGGTATCCATAACACAATACTCGTACCTTACCATGGAACTAGGTGGTGCTGTGTGTTAATGTCCTAACATTTTTTTTATTTAGTTTATAATTAATTATTAGCAGTGATTTTGCAAAATTGTATATTTTGATTTAGAATTTGGTCTAGTTAACCAGGTAATGTAATCCCCGTATTGTGGAATTATAAGAAATAAGTTCTCTATTGATCAAAATGATCGAAGAAAAGTAGTAATCTTGAAATTTTAAGGAAGAAAATGAGAACATTAAAGCAACAGTCTTGTTTTCTTTTATAAATAAGATAATAATAATAAAAAACATTCTATAGAATAACTAGCGACTCACCCTCGCCCCGCTCGAGTTTGTCCTTAGTGAAAATTTAGGTTTGTATGTATTTTTTAATGCCGAATCATGAAAAAATTCAAATACAAAAATTGTCTTGCATTGTTATCACTTAGGGGTATGAAAAATAATTTACGTCCTATTCTGAAACTTACTGAATATACACACAAAATTTCATAAGAATCGGTCAAGCCGTTTCGGAGAAGTTTTGTTATAAACACTGTGACAGGAGAATCTTATATATTAAATTTTATTTTATTAACGTTTTTCAGGTGACATTAACAATTCTGGATATAAATCGAGAGAAACTCTTAAAATGCGTTGAAGATGGTCAAGCAATGCAGGTTCTGAGTGATTATCTTGAAGGGATTTATAATGATGAAGCCATGGCGCTGTCCACTGAACCAAGGACAGCAGAGAAGGTAGAACAGATATTATGTGTTTTATTCTTTTCTTTTGTATTTCAGTCTAAAAAAATAATTGGAATATTTTTTAAGATATTTTGGATGAGAAGGAAATTAGACAGATTTGACCGTTTCTTGATATTGTGGGGGCTAGTGATGCAAAATTATATAACTTTACTCAGTCCAATATGTAGATTACGAATATATTTGTATAACTATTTCAATGTCAGTTTGAGTTATTTTTTTAAATAAAAAAATAACTGTAATGATATTTACCGGAAAGAAGTTCCTTATCGCACGTTATACTCGACACGTGTGACGTAATCATTAATACCAGGCGATCATAAGTGTTAAGGAGTGTATGTTGTAAGAAATTCATGTGCACTCTGTGGTGCATGCTGTAAGAAATTCTTCGATAAGCTTCAACGTGTACAGTACAGGTTGCTTGATGTTTATGATACCCTAGTATTCGCGATAATTTTTACGACCTAATCTATGAGCCAAGTGCAGACAGCGTAACGAACTTCGTTCCTACTTCTCGACATTTTTTATTATGTATTTTGTATTATTATTACCAGTGACTTACCCTCGCAATATAATTACTGAAAAAAATCTGCCAAAGTTGCTCCTTAATCTTTATAACATCAGCTATCTGCTAGTGAAAGGCCCGTCAAAATCGGTCCAGCGTTTCGAATTACCCAGAACAAAAATTTAAAAATAGATTTTTCTTATAAGTACCGTAGGTATATATGTCCTTTCATACGCGTTTAGTAAAAAGCTGTTATTTTGACATTACAAACAGACACTTCAATTTTTTTTTATTTGTATAGATTTATGAGCTAAGGGCAGACAGGGAGAAGAACCTCGTTCCTACCGAGTGTCCCATGACATTGACTTTTTTTATTATAATTTACTTAGTTTTTTTATTATATACATATTTTGACTATGCTAGTATTACGTAAATCCATCAGACAATCAAGATCCAAGAGCTAGTGTACCAATCGTACCGGTCGTACGGCGCGGCCGTGAGCGGCGAGTGCATCGAGCACCTGCGCCTCAAGCACCGCCTGCGCGTGGTGCGCCAGCTCGAGGACAGCCTCGAGAAGAACACGCTGCGCGCGCTGCTGCAGGACGACCTGCTGGACGTGCACGAGCTGCAGGTGGGGGCCGTCAGCGTGCAGGGTTTGATATGGTGGTTTGGGCTAGTAGAGTGATTAGAGGAAGGTTGTAAGTGGTAGTGGAGCTTTGATTTCTTGTAATGCTTCATTAAGTCCTTGTCCACGATTTTTTTTAATACAGAATCAGTATTTATTTCTTATATTCCAATAGTTTCGATATTGCGTAATAAAATGCTATGTATGGAAAATTTGCTATACCGTTACAAAAAAAAATAGAATATCAATAATATACACACGTTATATAGTGACTAAAAAAAATTGTTATTATCTTTACAACTTTGTGGAGCGACGTCGGTCTAAGCTTGATACCAGATGCCAAACGATATAATAATGGCGACTAGTAAAATAATGATATACCCATATTCCAACAATACATGTGGACCTTCTGAAATACTTATAATTTAAAATATATAAGAATACAGATATATATATATATATATATATATATATATATATATATATATATATATATATATATATATGTATTATTCTTATGCATCTTTCATCTTATGTATCTTTCTTTGCCTAAAAATATCATTTTATGGCAACTTTTTGTTTTCTTTATTATGTCAATTACGCGCGCTCAATTAGTCTTTTAAAAAGCCACAGATTAAAAAATGGATCATCAACCGTCAAATGGACCATCCAGACTTTCGCATTTATAATATGACAAAATTTATAAAATGGATTTCCAGGAGCTGTTAAGCGTGGTTCGGGAAGAGCTGTTCTGGGCCAAGCGCGTGCCCTGCGAGCGGCTCGAGGCGCCCTACGAGGCCTACCGCCTCGACTACGGACAGTTCAAGGCGCTGTTCTGCGCTCTGTCTCCGTGGGGCAAGGGCGATTATGCTGAAGTTATCACTGCTAGGATATTTAAGGTTTGTTTTTATTTATATTTGTTTTATTTATCTACTAGCGACTCACCCTCGCTCCGGCCCTACGTTTTAACGTTTAGTATAGATTAGTATAGTCCTTAGAGATGAGATATTTTCCCGCAGTAAAAAGTATCTTATATGTTTACCCAGATAACCAGCTACCATCATACCAAATTTCATTAAAATCCCTTCATTGGTTTTTCCGTGATGCGATAACAGGCAGACAGGCAGACAAAAATGTTAAAAACTATAGATTAGGCATCTGTATCGATAATAATGACTATTTCAATAAGATTTTCCAAAAAAAAATCATTTAAAGTACAGATTCGACTCAGTTAAAATTTTATTATATGTATATCAAATTTCATTAAAATCAAAAAAAGTATTTCAAATTTCATCAAAAAAAATTCCAAATTTCATTAAAATCTTTTCAGTAATTTTCTCGTGATGCATTCCTAGACAGACAGACAGGGAACAATTCTAAAAACTATAGAATCGTCCTCTATCGAGAAAAATGATTATTTCAATAAGATTTCCCAAAAAATATTTAAAGTACAGATTCAACTTAGAATATTATTATATGTATAGAAGATTTATGTCTAACCTTTAACACTATTGTGTATATATTTTAAACTCTGATGCACATAAAAACTTAAGTTTTAAACGTGATTGTGGTCGAATATAGGGAACATTTGATAGCAAAGTAATGAATGAGTGTACCGTGTACGGTGAGGACGCTGCGTTGTGTTATGACGTCACGCGAGTATGGCGCGTTCGCGCGGAATATTTGAATATGATGGAAACTAAATTAATCTTAACTTTAACAATACTTCTTTGATTTAAATAAAACAAAAACATATGTATTTCTAAACATTTAGGCTAAATGGTAATAAAGTTTCAAGTCATTTATCAGACTCGTGGACATTCTTCATTGGCGGGTAAATTACCCGAAAAGCGGGTAATTTTGACGAATATTTGCATTGAGCGGGATCAAAGTAGGTATTTTAGTTTACCTGATTAATTTGATATATTTTTTTAATGTTTGATTTAATAATTTGTAGCTGTTTAATTGAGAACTGATTACAATGACTTCTTTTTCTAATATTAGTTCTTTCTTTTATTCCGTATGAAACATGAATAAATTACTTAAATAAAAGTATGGTCGGCGCCGGCGGAGTGAACCGGGTACATCACCCGTCAGCCCCGACCATAAAGTGACACGTCCGGCAGCTGATGGCGCAGGACGGCGCGACGCAGACGAGCGTGCGCGGGCTGGCGGCGGCCGTGGGGCTGTCTGCTCGCGCCGACGCGCCGCGCCGCCTGCGCGCGCTGTACTGCGCGCACGCGCCGCCGCTGCTGGACCGCCTCGACCTGCGCGCGCACTACACCGACACCGGCGAGGAGCTCGCCGCCGACGCTATCTCCTTCTTTGACTGGTTCTCTCGCTCACTCACACGTATTTTTAAATCTTTTGTTTCTTGATTTCCCGCTCTGTTCGCCTCGTGGGTTGTCTCACTCATTCGTACGTGTTCATTCTGCCTTTAAACACCCTGCGTGCGCACTACACTTTTAATATTTGTGGTTTATCTATCTGGAGATACTCAGTAGTAGCTTCAGTAATGTTCACTTCCATATCTCGGAAAGGGTGTGAAGTTTTCGTCTCATCGGAATAGTTAAAGGAATAGAGTGCCCACGTGTCTGCGCATACGCATACTACCATATAATATGTCCCGTGCATTTGGCTAGTCTTAGTTTGGTTTTAGTTGAAATCGATTAGAAAGATTATTTTTACCATTTTTAAACATTGATAAATACAAACTAACACAGTCCACATAACAGAATTTCAATGAGACACCTTATTATTATTTTCATAATTAGTGTGGTCCTGTCCCTGGTTCTAAAACTTATACTCCATCATCCTCCATATCTGAGGCCAATTGACATTTATCAACTGTGGCTCTTATTATCTACTTTTACTGCTACATACTCTCGGTTAGATTAAACTACAAACTTACATTAACATTTTTACTTTATTAATTCTACAAAGTTTACTATTAGATTGTCATCTGTCAACAAATAAACATAATTTTTTATTCATTAACATTAAAAAAAAAGAGCTAAAAACTAATACAAATGTCCATCTCCAAACAGCACAGAGACCCCGTCCACCCCCGAACCCGTCTTGCAACGCTCTTTTAGCGACGCAGGAGAAACTACAATGGACAAATCCACCGACAGTACATATAGTCAATGCGGTAAGAGGATTTATCATTTCTTATAATTGCCAATGTTTGTATGTTTATTTTATAGTATGCAGCAATTTTCAAAGTCCCACTGTTGGGCACGGACCTCCCTTTAATAGAGTATATACATGATTGTAATTTATAATTTAATTTAAAAAAAGACAAAAGAATAAGTTACGTTCTCCTAATTTTATTTCGCTAATTTTTCTAACGGCTTTTTTTCGAAATTATGCTCAATTAAAATTTCTATAATAAAAAAATTATCTATATTTCTATACTAATATTATAGAGGGGTAAGGTTTGTGAGTTTGTGACGTTGTAGGGGGTAGTCTCTGGATCTACTGAACCGATTTAGATGAAATTTGGTAAGAAGATAGTTTGAGACCCTGGGAAGGAGATAGGATACTTTTCATCCCGGAAATCACCCCTTAAGGGAGTGAAAATGGGGATGCAAGTTTGTATGGGGAATATATTGAATTAAAATAAAGTTTTATTTCAAAAAAATGTGGAATATTTAAATAGTAAATATTAATTACAAAATAGAACATAATATTGTTTTTGTGTCTTTTTCCACGTGCAGAGTCGCAGTACAGCGGGTGCAGCGTGCGCGCGTGCGCGCTGGCGGGCGCGGGCGCGGGGGCGGGGCGGGCGCGCCGCCGCTGCCGCGCGCGCACTTCATGAAGCTGCTGGCGGCGCTGCATCACCTCACGCAGCACTCCGCGCCGCTGTACGAGGCCGTCGTGCGCGCCGGTACGCACGCACCAGACTTAATCTGCCTAGCAGCGACGGAAAATTGTTTTAATTATATATTATTCGTCGATCAAAAAAGTACCTATCAGATACACTATCCCGTTCAAAAGTTTTCTTAGATCTGTCATTGATTGTGTTTAGGTAATTATTCCAGTTAAAATAAATTTACAACGATATAAATTGAACCTTAACTGCAATACTTAAAGTTGTTTTCACAAAAAAATATTAAATTAAAAGCGCGCTAAAACTTTCAAATGAACGCTCATTCGGTGAGGACATTTTTGATCGCTGTATCTAGTACTTTTGTATCGATGTTACTATTGCATAAAAATAATATGACAACATTTATAAATTATAATTATTCAGTGCACCTTATACTATAAACATGTTACAGCCATTATGTTTATAATATTATTCTAATATAATTATTATTTTTAGGCACTCTTCTTTTGCAACTGGGTGAATACAACCACCGTCCCGCGCTGGACCGCGAGGTGTCGCAGGACAGCTTGTATTTGGCGGCGGCCGCGCAACCTACTATTGAGGTAAATAAATAATACCGGCCAACTGCGTGTCGGACTTGCGCACGAAAAGTTCCGTACCATTATATATAAAAATCACGTTTCTTGTATAGAAGCCCCCTTAAATATATTTTTTATTTTGTTTTTTAGTACTTGTTGTTATAGCGGCAATAAAAATACATCATCTGTGAAAATTTCGACTGTCTAATTATCACGGTTCATGAAATACAGCCTGGTGACAGACGGACAGACAGACGGACAGCGGAGTCTTAGTAATAGGGTCCCGTTTTACCCTTTAGGTACGGAACCCTAAAAAAACACTGATATTTTTTTAAATATTTAATAAATACGCTTATTTATATAATTCTCTTACTTTTTACCCGAGCTTTAAATTTATATCAAAATCTGTAGGGTACCTTTTGCAAATAATATGGTTAAGAAATCCCATACTCTGTCATATAATAGGGAACTCTTTTTTTTAGCCTAAAAATTACTTATCTGTCTGTCTTCAAAATCTTTCACTCCATTCATCAGTTCAGCGCTATTATATGGCATTTAGCATTTTTTGTATTAGCTAAGATTGTTTTATTGATTTAACAAATAATTTTAACCGGCATAAAAAGGAATAGGTACGCAACTCGGATGTTTTCACCAATTATAAACCGGTTATAATAAGTTTTATTTACTGAATAGAATATACCATTCATGTACATAAAGAATAATTACGACCAACGATGTAATAATTACCTTATTATTGTTCTTTTAAATTAAAAATTAAATAATTTTCCAATATACCAGGTGGATCCCAACGGCAACCCGAGCATCGAACCCGAAAAATTGCAATCGCCGACCAAAGAGTTTGAGCCTTCTGACGAGCCGTCCTGGTCCATAACACTCGAACAATTCTTAGCAACAATGCTAGCGGAGCCCCTTTTGGAAGAATTCTTCAACAAGAAAACGCCCCTTATGCAGGATCTAGAAGCCCTAAGACAGAGGAACAGGTTGCACTCCGTCTCATAATCCCTGAAAGGTAAGCCGAAAGGTAAGCTGGATGGTAAGCCTTATATTAACTGTTAATAATCTTAGTACTTCAGTTTTGGCCTTTTAGGTATTAGATGCGGTGAATCTAAATGCTTTGAAAATTTGCAATTTTGATGATTTATAATTAGGATTTGGATGTTTATATGAAATTCAAAAATTTTGATTGTATGTATGATATTATGTATATATTTTTTTTGTTTTTTTTTTTAATTCTTTTCATTGAGTTGTTTAGAATATGGGCGTATTGGAAAATTTCTTACTTAATTATTTATGTTATTATATTACTTGTAAGCTCATTGAGCAATTTTCGCTTTTTTAACGAAACAATGGAACCTCAACTTTATATTTGTAAGAGATTATGAAAATTAAATAAATTGTAAAAAAATTTATTATTTCAATAGTAATAAGAAAATGCTGTGTTACTTTGAGCTAAACTATCTTTTATTAGATGTAACAATTAATAATATATTGGTATTTAGATTGCTTTAGACATTTAAAAGTATATTGTATATTGAAAATATTTAATGAAAAATGAAATTGTTTTAATAGTAAATATTAGTTGAAAAATATCGTAATACATATAATTTAGTAGTCGTATTAGTTTTGAATTGTATAAGAACTTATATAATAATAATTTTATATCAAATTAAACATTCTTTATTTGTGTCATACTTATGTATTATAATTTATACTATACTTTGAAAATTTTATGTAATATCAAACCTGAAATAAATTATTATACTAACATCTTGTTTACATTTTGTGATGTCTATCATATATAATAACTTGTACGGGCTTACCTGCACAGTGAAAATGTTAGGTAAGCCGGTGTTATAGGTAATCAAAAATGCTCGAACGTACCTGTGCAGGTAAAACTGTATGACAGTTTAAAACTTTTTAAAACTCTAAGTTGTATGGCCACTTTAAAATACACCATTGGGTAGTGGACACCATGTATTTCCCATAGATTTCTGATAGCAACACACTATTTGCTAATTCAATTGACTAAATATTATTATTATTTTAAAATATTATAAATTAATAACTATTACACTAAAAATGTAATTTTACAATTGAAATTGAATTGAATTTTCATGGTTAAAATATATTGCTTATTTTGTGAAGTTTTATGTTTTGGGATAGGGTTAACAGTGTCGACTACCCAGTTTATGCGTTGTTTTGATGTTATATTTTGAAATAATTTCGTATTACGTTTTAAAAGATAAATAGTTAAAATTTGTACGTCATTTTCATGTGTTCAATATGGATTGTTTATCGCTATCTACTGCACAGGCTGTTGCGAGTTCGATTCCCGCACTGGGGCAAGTCACAAATTAATTTCCCAAATACAGTCGCACTAAAAATATATATACATAAACTTTAATATGTACCTATATACTTAGCGTGACAGTTTGTATTTATAGTTTAATCTGTAACGTCATTTTTTAAAAGTATAACATGTACAATGTATGTATTTTATATATGGCCTCAAAGTCGCTAAACATATGTAACAATAACACCTCCAGGTAAATTTCTAAGATATCAATTAAATTTCTAAGAAAACTATTGTAAACTGTAACGCCGGCGTGTCCGCGGTCGTGGAGGGATTAAATAAATTTTCGCGTTCCATAATAATTATTACTAAACAAATTTTATGTTGTTTATATAGATATTGGTCTGGTCTTGACATGTGTGTGATGTATTTATACGATTATTCTTCTCTCTTTTAATTTCTTTTTTTTTTAGAAAAGCACCTTAAAAGTTAATGTATTCAGATAAATCCTGAAAAAAGATTATTGAGAAAAACATTCCAAAAAAATATCTAGCTTAAGTATAATACCTACTGTTAATGACTAACAAATTACTAATAAAAATAATATTAGATTTTATTAAATATAGCCATATTAGAGTAAGAGAAGTAACTGTTAAACTAACCAAATGTGTAATCTTTAGTTATTATTTATGTTATATAATATTTGTTGATAGTTTTATGGAAAATACGTCATTTGTGTTATGCAAATTAACAGTATACTGTTTGGCGGTGATTAGATTCTCAATGGCTACTAGGAAATAAAATGTCAATTTTTTTTGCATTTAAGACTATGGTAGACTTGGGAAACCGAGTGAAGCGGGTTGAAATCCCGGGTCTCGCACTTCTGATATTTTCATATGCGAATCATTTACAACATGTTACCACTTGTCTTACGGTGAAGAAAAATATGAGGAAACCTGCCTGTCTGAAAGAACCTAGCAATTTTTCTAAAGACATGTGAAGTCCGCCAACTCGCACTTAGCCAGCGTGGTGGACTATGGCCTGATCCCTCTCGTACTGTGCCCCCTGAGCGTGTGAGACATTAAAAAGGGCTGAATACATTGTTTTTTTATTTCTTTCTTGCGGCTATTTCAAAGTACTACTTAATTAACAGTAATTGTATGTAATATTAATTATTATGTACTAATTACTTTATAGTATACTGTGTTCCTTACTTTTCTTGAGGTTAGTTTTGCAAGTAGCCGTTAGGGGGAGTCTACACACCGCCAATGTGGGCTGTATTTACATTGTAGGTTCAAAGAGAGTATTCGGTCAAAACATGTAATGTATCATTGTGAATATTTATTAAATGCATGTAAAATGTTAATATTTAGAGCAAAATAATTATGATTGTGGCTTTGGAATTTTTTAACACTAAAAATATTTCCGATTACAGGTTAAATATAATATTTTTCTTTTATTTTGTGAAAGATTGTTTTATTTGGGTGACTTTTACAATACTTATGATTATTTAAATTTTTTGCAATGGGTATTCAACGCAAAGTGTTCCGTTTTTTATTATCTAATTTTTAACTTTACAAGAAAACTTTGCTTTCTCCTATTTTATTTTATTCTTAGTGTTTAATATAATATTAATAATGAATTACATTTATTTAACATTGAAATTACACATACAAAACATATAAAACAAATTAGTTTGTGGAATTATAATTACATACTAAGCAATCAAAGAGCGATATAATGCGATTATGAATTTAACAAAATGAGTACAAAATATAATCTTTCATATTTAAATTGTATTAAACAAGTTTTTGGCTTCTTTCTTACTAAAAATATATGTAACTATAACATTTAACACTAGCGATACATTTTATAAGCGGACTAACATACTTTAAAAAATAATTCCATAAATATAATAATGTATCAGCAAATTACATTTTAAGTGTTTCTGTTCATGACCTTATTAAATGAATATATTGTATGAATTCTCACATAGCGCTTCGTGTACGTAATAAATGGTGCTTATCGATAAATTAGTCTTGCGATCTTTTACATAAAATGTTTGGATGTTAAGTAAAATGTCTTTGGCTTAAAATTAATTCAATGCCAAATTAATTACTTTTGAAATTCACTTTCTTATTAGCTACAATAATTTTCTACACTGACTATATAAAGGAATATGCTTCTCATATATTTTTATATGCTGCTCGATTAAAAATGTGCAAAAGTGTAGTCATTTTATGAGTCACTTTGTACTAATAGGTTGTCTAGAATTGTTCATTACGATACGCGTCCACTAAATATTTTTTCTTGTGGCAACTCTTTGTTTCCTTCTCCTAGTATTGCGGGGATGCCCCTACTTGCAATTGTTGCCGGCGAAAAAATAAACAGGTCTACCAATAGAAAAAAATATATACTCGATTAGAAGTAATAATCGTTGTATCCAATACAAGTAACAGTAATTTATATTGTTTATATTAACAAACTATACGGACTAGTGCAGAGAAACTTAGGCCGAGAGTTGCTTAACGAGGGTATTCTCTTACAATTACGCTAAGGCCAACCGCCAAGCGCATTTACATCTTCATAGCATGCCAACTTGGCAATTAAAAGTTGTAGTAGGTGCGAACTCTAAAGCTTTGAAGATAGAGTCGAATAACTATTATATATTTATATTATCATGGAATTAATAAAATAAATAAAATCTTCAAACTAAAAAAGTTTATTAAAATAAAATTAAAAATAGATTGGATGAGACAATATATGTAGCTACTGTAAATATGATAGTTGGCTTCAGTACTTAAAAGTGCTAATAGTAGGGGAGCCCAAGAGGGGATTTTCTGTAGTTACTCGAGCGCGGCAGATTAACATAAAAGAGGTTACCTTGCACTCTATTGAGTACTTTCACCATAATATAAGTCTTCTATATAAAGGGGCGCGTCTAGGGAAGCCGATTAAAATATTTAAAAAATGTTTTGATAAGGTAGAAATACTTGAAACCGTCAGATTAAGGTGTGGTAGGCTAGTCACATCCTGAAAAGTGTCCAATTCAATAATCTGCCGATTTGCACAAGCCGCAGAGGCAAAAATCGACTATAAAGTTTATGATGATTTTTGCCTCTTAGTAGGGGACTACTATAAGTTTCATGTACGGGTCCAATGAAATTAACAAAATTGGATTCTTATTAACCTGTGTTATGTGTAACTTAAAATATTCAAGTATTTTTAGAATTTAGCTGCTTCAAGGGTAATAAAATTTCACATTTGCACAATATGAGAACATTCTAACTTATTTGTTTTTTTTTTAAATCAGAGTAATTCATATTCTAATTTTTTGAAATCTTGTATGAGAACATTTTTGGTTAAAAAAGATTAATGATTTTTTTTTAATAATGAAAAAAAATTTTTTTTCATTAATCTTTTTAAAATATTTATTTTCATATTAGTGGTTTAAGTTCTAAGCCGTTTGCACCATCAAAACGATGCCAGCAATATCATTTTATATAAAGCTTGTTGCCGCTATAAAATATAATGCACCAATTCCTAAAGAGGCCTTTTATATTGTATTCCATCTAAAGATTAAAGTCCACACAACTGTATGTTTGTCTGTAAGTGTACACTGTACAATCAGTATGTATGTAATAAAATACATTTTGTTCAATGTCATGTCTTTTAATTTCATTTTTCTTTACAAAAATTACAAATGATAATACAAAAAGAAATGTAAATATTTTACAATTAAAAATATAAATATGTCAAGTTTTTGTACATTTTATATCTAAAATCTAAATATTTAAAAATTAACAATTTACTAAGTTAAGTAACTAATATAAAGTACAAAACTTGCAAAAAAATAATAATATATACTAATGAGTCTCACATGAATATAAATAGCATTATAATGGTCATTGGCAATTCGCAGAAAAATATGTAAACTTCCTGTGTATATTTTACTTCATCTTCATATTTATATACTAGATAGTGGATAGTTTAATCAAAAATACTATTTTTGAGTAAGTTTAAGCGTCCAGGCATGTTGCGACTTCACTGTTGCTTTGTCGGGTAAGAGTATGAAAGCCTTGCCATTTGTTAAATGCCACTGTAACAAAAAATCCTTATGTAACGAAACTATGCACATCTATACATATAATAAAATTGTAAGTCGAATCTGTACATTCAATATTTTTTGGAAAATCTTATTGAAATATACATTATTTATTATTATATATTGATACAGAGGTCGAATCTATAGTTTTCAGAATTTTTGTCTGTCTGTCTGTGAACGTATCACGGAAAAATCACTGGACATATTTGATGAAATTTGGTATGATGATAACTGGTTATCCGGGTAAGATAACATTTACTATTTAGGATACTTTTTACTGCAGGAAAATATGTCATCTCTGAGAAATCTATACTAAAAAAAATAACTAGGGACGAACCCGAGCAGAGCTAGGGTGAATCGCTAGCAATAATAATAAAAACACTTGACCTACCTTCAAAGACTCTTCATCGCCAAGCATTTTGATATCATAAGTGCCCGTATGTAGATATGGCGCTATATCCCCCACTTGTAATATATTATTCTTAGGCCATTCAAGGAAAATCGCATATGTTGCTGTTACTGTATCACTTTGCCTTGGACGTGATGTCGGGTTTCTACCATTATATTTTGTTTTAACACAAGTATACCACACATTCCCATTGACTGTATCATTCTGGTGTATCCATGGGGAAGTGCCATATATTGCTTCACCATTTATTGATAACCACTCACCTAGAGCCAACAATCGCTCTTGGAATATAGGTGCTATCGTACCTTCTTTAGTTGGACCTACATTTATCAGGGCATTACCTGTAAACAATGCCTTATAAATTAAAACATAATTAAAGAAACTAAATTTGTATATATAATGAAATATATTTTTTAATAATATGTAATTGGAATATTTTTACAACTTTTTAAAATTTATTTTCTTTTTTTTTGCCGCCAGTAAAAAAAGACATTACACTTTATCTATAATAGTAAACTAAATATTAAATTTATAAGCGAAAACCCTAAATATAAGCAGTGGGCGGGTGACAGCTGGTTTACCTTATAAAGAGCAAGGATCGTGATATCTGGTTGTGTACTAAATGAAAATATACATATAACTAGCAACTCACCATCGCCCCGCTCGGGTTCGTCCCTGGTGAAAATTTAGGTTTGTATGTATTTTAAATGCCGAATCAAAAAATTATTAAAAAATTGTAAAAAAAATAAAAATAAAATTTTTGGGGTGAACTACCCTTATCAGGAGTATGAAAACTAGTTTAGGTCCTATTCTCAGACCTACTGAATATACACACAAAATTTCATAAGAATCGGCCATCAGAGGAGTTTTGTTACAAACACTGTAACACTAGAATTTTATATATTAGAAGAAGAAAGATATAGAAAATTTCAATAAATTTCAGAGAAATACTAGAAGGGCAATGACTCGTTAGGTCGGTAGGTCGTGAAATATCTCTGAGAAAGCAAAATCTACAGCTGGTCTAAAATTAATTTTAAAGCAATATTTATATTTAATAATTATTGTTACTAAAATTATTTGTTGTAATCACAAATTTATCTCTTAGTTGTAATAAAGTTCATTGGCACTAAGAAGTTTATAAATACATTACATTAAAAAAACTTATAAATAACTATTAAAATGTATTATCAATATGATATGATAATATATTGTTATTCTTTGCCAATTCATGTACATACATGGGTGTTAATCTATACATATAATTGTAACTAAGCTGAATCTGTACATTAAATATTTTTTGGAAAATGTTATTGAAATAGATATTATTATCGATACAGAGTCCAAATCTATAGTTTTTAAAAAATTTGTCAGTCTGTATGTTACCGCATCACGGAAAAACCACTAGGGGGGTTTAGTGAAATTTCGTATGATGATAGCTGGTTATCCCGGTCAACGTATAGGATACTTTTATCGCAGGAAAATATTTCATTTCTGAGAAAAAATACAATAACTGCAATGTAAGAGTATACTAATACTTAAAACCTAAAAAAATATTTTTGGTCATCTGAACGCGGGCGAAACCGCGGGCAATGCTAGTATGAAATAAAATGGCTTAAAAATATTTTATATGTAGGGCAGACTGGTATTCAAAAAATGATTAAGCAGGTATATTATGTTAGGAAGTATATAGCAACTAAAAAAAAATGCCAAGATATAAACAAACTAAAAAGCTACCTATTCTAACACTTTTCTCTGTATTTAAATAAGACCTTAAAAACCAAGTAATAAATAATAATAAATTAAAATTGTTTTACAGTGAAGATAATTGGGATAAGAAAAAAAATGTGGGCAAAATTTCATTCAATTCAAATTCAAAAGTTTTATTTTTAGAATCACTTAAAAAGATTTCGTTACCTAAAGCTAATGTCTAAAAAATTATAACAATTACCTCCACAGCTCACCGTACTCACTACTTGTTCCAGTAATTTATTAATTGTGAGAATTTCACTCAGTTTCATATTCCGACGGTAGCCCCAAGACTTGGTGTCTACTGTGAAAGCATTCTCCCACTTGTGGTTTTGTAGCTTTCCTGAGGATTTTTATACTTAACAATTAATGAGCAAGTTCATTTTGTTAATACGCTTTACAATATTTTTTAAATATGAAGCAAATTAATCAAATCACTTTTAATAAATTAAAATATTCAATGTTTTTTGTCTCTATTATTAAGAAATGTTCAGCAAAATCCTTTTTTATCACAATTATTTCTTTACATTAATTAAAACACAACATACCTGGATTATATCTATCCTCACAATTGTAAAAGTCTCCATGGTGACATGGAATGCCAATGCCCCATCTATCATTTACTACAATTTCATCTTTTACAGGACTTTCATTGTATAACCAAGCAAGCAGTTCTGTTGAATTCCAGTAAGGATCGAAAGCTTCCCAGTCACCATCTGCCCATATCACAGAAGGCTCATAATTTTGCACAATCTGTTTCAAATCTGGCCACAATTTTGTTTCAGGGTATGTTCGAGATAAAAATAAATTAGCTTTATCTTGTAAATATATTGGGTTATACCACTCATATAATGAATGGTAGACTCCAAACTTTAAATCTTTTTGACGCACAGCATTTGCCAGATCTCCCACTAAGTCACGCTTTGGCCCAACCTCCATGGCATTCCAGCTGAACGATCTTTTTGAAGGAAATAATGTAAATCCATCATGGTGTTTACTCGTAAGAACTATATACCTGCAATGAAAATCTATACATATAATAAAATTGTAACTAAGTCGAATCTGTATACTAAATATTTTTTGGAAAATCTTATTGAAATATATTATATATAAATATATTATCGATAAAGAGTTCGAATCTATAGTTTTTAGAATTTTTGTCTGTCTGTCTGTTACCGCATCACGAGAAAACCACTGGACAAATTTTGATGAAATTTGGTATGATGATAGCTGGTTATCCGGGTCAATATATAGGATACTTTTTACCGCGGGAAAATATCTCATTTCTGAGAAAAATACAAAAACTGCATTGTAAGAGTATACTAATATGTAAAACCTAAGAATTTGGTTTTTGGTCATCTCAACGCGGGCGGAGCCGCGGGCAATGCTAGTAGTAAATATAATAATAGCATGGCATAATACAAGAAATATAAAGGATTAGATTATTGAACCTAAGTAATTTCCCCTATAAATCGCAGAAAATGAAATAATATCACAGAACCCTATTCATATTTTTTTTAATTATTAGACTATATACTCTGCGTGTATCAGATAATATTTATTACCTTTCATAATTATTTTCAATTTCATTTATACTTTGAAATATGGTATTATAGAGATTTTGTACTTAAACTCATCATTACTTTTTATATACTTTTTTACATTAGTGCAATTTCCCAACACTTTGGCTTTTACATATATGACCTAGTATAGTGTAAACAATAATATATATAAATATAAGTGTTGGTCTAGTGCGCTCATATGATGGGCAATTTTTTGCATATGTATATGTAAACTGTATTTTGATTAATTACATTATTTTGATGAAATTTAGTATGATGATAGCTGGTTATCCGGGTCAACATATAGAATACTTTTTACTGCGGGAAAATATCTCATATCTGAGAAATCATTAAAACGTAAGTAGGGACGAACCCGAGTGGAGCGAGGGTGAGTCACTAGTACATAATAGAATATTTGAATTTATTACACGCAAAATAGGCGCATAGTCGTCGAGTTGCGGAAAACAGCCCGAACATACCATACCAATATTTGAATTTATATGATTTTTATCTTAAATACAATTACCCCTAGTTAATATACTTATATCAGAGTAAAAGCCCAAAATTCTTGAGGGGAAAATATACCTATCTTATTGACACCCATCCTTTGCTACACTAAACATTCTGAAAATTGTATATACTAAAGGAACAGTTTTAATGGGTGAGCAGCTTCAGTCATATTCCATGTATGACAAGACTAGAAAAAAATATAATATAGCACTTACTTTGCACCAGCTTTAGAAAATAAAGTTGCCCAGGCTTCAGGTTCGAAGAACTCTGCTTTAAACTCTGGAGCAAATTCTTGATAAGTAAATCCCGGAGGGTAATTTTTTTCCATAAAGGCAACAGTCTTATTATCGCCGGCTAAAATTAAAATAAATAATAATAATCTCAAACAACAGGAAAAAATATTTTTATCAGTGGTTTGTTTTGCTCTTTACTCACATAGCCAATTACTCCAGAACCATTCCGATCCAAAGCTCGGTACAGCATATACTCCCCAATGAAGAAATATTCCTATCTTGGCTTTATCGTACCATTCAGGTAACGGGCGTGTATCCAAATCTTTCCAATTAGGATCATACCGTTTTATAGGTTTATCGGCATCAAAAATATTTGGAGAGTTTTGATTACTAATAACTATTTCGGCACTCGTAGTATACAAGATAGTAAATAGTAGAAAATTATTCATTCTTATTATTTAGTTAATTGATTTCTTAATTTTTCTTAGATATTCCTGTAAAATTAGTTATAAAAATAAATAATATACCGTTTCCGTTTGTCGTTATACCAATCTTTTTATATTCATTGTATTGTCAATGCAAAGTTTCAAATATGTAATATTTATTAGTTTAAATTCAAAATAATAACAAGATTACCTACCTAATATTAAGTACATATTATTTAAATTTCCGTTTTGATTTTTGACTTTGGCCGCCTTTTAACTTTAATGTTTATGTAGATTAAAAATTAAGTTTCCAACAACTAATGTTACCAGTATCTAGACTATTAATAAATTTGAGACTAAGACAAAGTCTTTAAATTATTGAAGATTTTTGTCCGAATTCCAAAAAGGAAGAGGTTCTTAATTCTTCGGAATATTTTTTTGAAGTTATACTTCTTTTGGCGTGTTTGGAAAAAAATGATGAGAGTGAATTTTTTTAAGGTGCGACAGACTTAGATTACAGTATGAACTTAGAAGAGAGGGTATAAAATATATAAGGAATTTAAATATATTATTATATTTTGTTCCTTCACATTCTGAAAACTTTGTATCAATGTTTAGCAGAGTGGTGCACTTAATAATAATTCGGGCTAAAAGTTTACAACATACAATCTACTAGATTCCCCTCAGTGGCATATATTGTGGCCAACTAGCTATCCACCGATTATTAAATCATATGTGATGTCATTTGTTTAGTCAGTCTGCTCGGCAGGCACGGTGCTAATGTTTCTACTCAGTTTTCTTCGTGTTATATTTTCTTATATAATTGTATAAATAAATAATTGTCAACAGCACTCCGTTCTTAACCACTATGATGAGAGCAAAGAAAATATACCTACGTGTAGGATTTAAATAAAACTGAAATATTTTTTTTTATTATCTTTATTGCTTTTAAATTAAGTCTATATCAATATTTTTTAAAAATTTATCAATGTAATCTTTTTTTCAGTAAGAAAATAATTATTAAAAAATGCAAATATAAATGGCAAATTTAAACTAGTTGAAACGCATGTCATTGGTCAGACCGAATATGACGTCAAAGCATTATCATAACAGAAACAGACAGAGCGATTAGCAGTTATGTCGCTAGCGACAAACTAAAGTCGTCATTTTACCGTTTATGATTATGGAGGGTACCTATATGGGACACAAGTTGAAAAAGTGTCCAGTGGTGAGCAGCAAATTGTAATTCAGAAACTCACCGATATAGCGCTAGCGTAGCAAGTAGAAGTCGGTGCCAGCCGATGCATAGGAAATCTAATATATTTTGATACGTAAAATACTGGCACCGACTTCGAAAATATTGATTAGGTATCTATTCTAAATGAAAACCCCCGTTTAGTTATGTTTTATATTTTAGTGCCTGGAAGTCGGTTTTTTTTAAGGTTATATTTTTAGTGTAGACGTAATAAGCAGGTAATTTGTAGGACGAAAGTTTTTAATAACATATTCGATTAAACAATTTGTTTAAAAAAATATTATTGTTGATTTTTTTAAAAACCCCTCGACCGATTTCGATAAAATTTATATGGAACCGACCACCTGGGAAGTATACCTACCCTTTCAACCAAAAAAAAAATTTCCAAATCGGTTCAGGCGTCTTCGAGTAATCGGTGAACATAAATAAAAAAAAAGATTCCGACGAATTGAGAACCTCCTCGTTTTTTGGAAGTCTGTTAAAAATAACGATAGGGACGATAACGGGCCACTGTCCCTTGAACAAACACTTATTCAACATCGGCGCAACGAACAGCCCTCAGTGCAGAGGATGTTTCAGCGTTGAAGAATCAGTAGCTCACGTATAGTCCTGAAATGCGTAGTATATCCTCGGACCAATGTGGTCGCTCAGCGAAGTTCGAAACTTCTGCGCTTTTGGGCGGAGATAGATTGGCTAAACTAGCCAGGATTCGCAACGTACAAACGGACCAAATACGAGTCTAAGTACGGAAAACAAGTCTAATTTACAAACATAACATTACTTACCTACCCCCTTAAGATATTATTACCTACTAACTAAAAAGTCAGTTTCTGCAGTTGTCTTAATACTATTATAGACATTTACAGTGGAATTCAAACGTAATGGCAGCTCGGACATTAATTGCACGCTCACGAAGCATCTCGTCATTTTAGTTGATACATAATATTGGATTTCGCGCATCGGGACGTATTACGTAATATGTAGCATCTCTATTCTCTATATAGTTTGTGCCTACTATGTTCACATCACAGCCGCCAATAAGTTTGAATCGTAGGTACAGTACCAGCCTTGTCTTTACAAATAACAGAGAATTCAGATCAGATAAGCTTAATTTGTTTTGATTAACTACAAGTTACAGCAATATTATTTAATTTTTCGTAAAAAATGTAAGTTCGGAGAATATCAAAAATTTTACGTGACAGGATATTTTTTATTTTGTAAATATATAACTTATTGATTAATAAAAAGACCACCAGCATTTTATTCGCAATGGCTACAAACAAGTGTAATCAATTGTTTTATAATGCAAATGTACGGCGAGTCACATTTTACTTAATTTAAATAAAAATCATGAAAGATAATTTATATAAAAACTAGCGACTCACCCTCGCTCCGCTCGGATTCGTCCCTAATGTGGGCCACCCTTATCACTTAGGGGTATGGAAAATAGATAGTAGCCGATTCTCAGACCTACTAAATGCGCATATAAAATTTGGTAAAAATCGGTAAAGCCGTTTCGGAGGAGTACGGTAACTAACATTGTGACATGGAAATTTTATATATTAGATAATGTACACTTACAAAATTTAGCGTTGCGATATATGGTTGAAGAGTCGAAATCCATAAATTTGTGCTTCAAATGTTTTGTATTAGGTACTTTGTATCTCAACATTAAGTATTAATTAAATAATAATTATATTATTATTTTAAAGAAAACACAAAGTGCGGTGAGCGCTATCAATCCACGACGTTAAATGCCAAGTAAACAATATTGCATAGTTTTAAATGGACCTAATTATCAAGATAACTAACAACATGCCTAATGACCATGTTAATCGTAATTGTATTGTTTGTAGGTACGTTATTATATAGGTAACTAAAGATTGTAAAATAAATTACAGTTAATTTAAATCGATTGAACATGCTCATAATTTATTATTATTTAGAAGCATTATAGAGTAAACTAGTATTGACCGCGGCTCCGCCCGCGTTCAGATGACCAAAAATCAATTTTTTAGGTTTTACATATTAGTATACTCATACAATGCACTTTTTGTATTTTTACTCAGAAATGAGACATTTTCCCGCGGTAAAAAGTATCCCACATGTTGACCCGGATAACCAGCTATCACCATATCACATTTCATCAAAATCCCTCCAGTGGTTTTTCTGTGATGCGGTAACAGACAGATTGACAAAAATTCAAAACACTATAGAATCGGCCTCTGTACCGATAATAATGTCTATTTCAATAAAATTTTCCAAAAAATGTATAATGTACAGATTCGGCTTAGTTACAATTTTATTATATGTATGGATTTATTACTATTTACCTTAACCTTACATTAAAAGGCTAGATGAAAATCAGGCAAAACAAAGTGTGACTCGCTTCGCTGAAGGGTTCCATAGCATACACGTAACATACGTAATTTTTTACGTTAAAAGTAAAATTGAATAAAGGTAACATAATAATTAATAATAGGAGTAAGGTAGGTGCGGGTAATAAGGCCTAGCTAAGGGAGATTTGAAATAAAATAAAAACTTTATACCGAAATCAATTAATTTTAATGTTAAGTATACCTATAGAACCATTACTATTAAATAAAAATCAAAAACGGTAATTTTTGCTGTAAACAAAAACAAAATTAGACATTTTTTAAAACACTATCTAAAGGCCTTTTTATACTATGGTCGGGTAATAAGGCCTAAGTCTTTTTACATACATAAATAATCAAAACATGCATCTTATATTTGGTAATTGCGATCAATAATCATAGATATGCATTAATCACGCATGAAGTCTTAAATAAGAGACAGATTCCTTTGATTAACAGCCGTCAAGACACTCAAAAGTGTCCCTATCATCTGCTGAATAACCAACACATTCCTCTTGATATCACTTGCTGCATTTAGCACATTGCCTTATATCTGCCATCTTACCCTCTTTACAACTATGACAGTACCAGCTCACTCAGCTCGCTTAGTACCACTTCTACCTTTGAGATTCGATGTTTTTATTATTTTCGTTCCTTTCTTGTTTTTGTCAAACCGGTCTTTAGTTTGTTTAGACTGAAGTTCTCCTGTAATTTAATGGTTTTCTCCTAAGTATTGGTGTTTTTTCAATCTTAATTATCATAAACTTCACTCAGTCGCTTAAAGTGATTATCAACAATGAATTTATTAAGGTTTTGAGCTCTGGCCGGGTTCATGAATTGAGCTTTTCTTCTAGATATTTCTGCATGTCTTTTCATGAATGCTTTAAATCAATCTTTCTTTACCTACAACTCTAGAAGATGGGTTGAAGTTATGCTTGATGTTATTAAAATGTTCGCAAATTAAAGATCAAGCGTCGAGAATCAGTGGTGGAACAGGCAATCCAATTTCAGCGAACTTCATGATTCTCCTTACAAGTTCAGTTTCCTGGTCGTCACTGAGTATGGATTTTTGACCTAGTGATTTTTTTAACTGCCGGTCTGAATATGATTCCTAATAACCATTAGGAATTCTGGACACTTCTGGGAACTTTATACTTCTCAGCAGCTTTATGGTTGCTCAGTATTCCTCTTTCTACCGCTCGAACAGCCAACACCAAGTCATTTTCAGACCACAATGCTCGTTCGGGAGGTATTGTGATTGCTGTGACTAAAAAGAGACAATAAACCATTAGTAAACAGTTGTCATTACTTTTTATAACACTTCTAGCTATTTAAAAAAGATACTAACTAAAGCTGTGATATTGATATAAAAAGGAGGATAATAAGGCCTACGATCAAATTTTGTAGGCCTTAATAACCATCGGCAACATGTGTAAAGAAAAATAAAAATAATATGAATCGAACTATGATATTATAATTTAAACTTCTAAGGTCATAAAAGTATGAAATTATAGAAATTTATAATGTAAAATTACATAATTATGTAAAATATTTAAAAAAATACTTACGTTTGTAACTGACGGTTTTTTATTATTCGTGGTGTCACAACCGCATCCCACAATGAAAGATGTCGCACTGGCGACATCACACGGGCCCTTTTGTCGCGACATGTTTAAGGCACCATCTTTGAGTGTTAGCTACCTATGTTTGTGATCTTGAGTGATTCAAACAATTTAAAGTTGGATTTCTAGAACTTAGGCCTTATTACCCGATAGGCTTTATTACCCGAACCTACCTTAGTGTATAAAACTTTAGTAGCAATAACTCGTCTTGGCTTGAGTAAGTCACGTAGAATCGTCTATCTCTTTTTTAAACCGGAAGACTGAAAAATATAAACAAATCTTTCCCTCGGGAACCGTACATTTTTTTCGGGATAAAAAGTAGACTATGTGCTATTCCATACTATAATCAATCTATCTCTGTGCCAAATTTCATCTAGATCCTTTCAGCAGTCTGCCGTTCTGGTGTGATTGAGTTACAAACATCCATATAAACTTTCACATTTATAATATTAATAATATGTTCCTAATGATACTTCATACAACCTCTCCGCTATCCTGTATTATGATGTATGGCGCTTAATCTTCTTTATATATATAATTCTTGTGAGTGTGTATGTCACTGAACTTCTCTCAAACGACTGGACCGATTTTGATGAAATTTTTTGTATGTGTTCAAGGGGATCTGGGAATGGTTTAGATTCACAATTTGAATAATAATTTTCATCAAAAAAATTATTAAAAAAAGTTTGAAATTTTCAAATTAAAGACGTGTAGACAGGACAACGTCTGTCGGGTCCGCTAGTTTTCTTATATATTTTGATCCCTATTTTTTTTTGTAATTTGACTACAGAATTGAATTGCTCTACTAGTTCACATGAGGCATATATTGTGACAACGTTTGTTTAGAATAATAGATTTTCTATACTACATACTATTATAATTGTGAAGGTTTGTGTGTATGTTTGTAACTTGCAACACTTACGCCTTACCAGTGAAACGGTTGGAGAGATTTGGATAAAGTTTAGAACATTGATAGATTATGACAACAACACATAGCCCATATACTGTGTTGTTGTTATTGACGCCTCTAAAAGCATCCAAGCCCCTCGCTTCGCTTAGTCATTAAGTATTACATCTTTATATATATAATTCTTCTGTGAGTGTGTATGTCACTGAACTTCTCTCAAACGACTGGACCGATTTTGATGAAATTTTTTGTGTGTGTTCAAGGGGATCTGATAATGGTTTAGATTCACAATTTAAATAATAATTTTCATCAAAAAAATTATTAAAAAATGTTTGAAATTTTCAAATTAAAGACGTGTAGACAGGACAACGTCTGTCGGGTCCGCTAGTATTATATATAACAATAACAAGTGACTATATTCACATGTACTTTGTAGTGATAAGATGTACAGTGTGTCATATAGTAATAATATAGTTATGTGAGATAACATAAAAATTCTAACAAGTAGCACACAAAACATTATTTTATGGACTATTCAACCAAGCAATTAATTTTTAAATTGTGGAAAACCCATATACCTAAGTTACATAAGCCTATGTAATGACAACTATTACCAATAGGTAAAACATCAGTCTCCAAAAAGTTAAATAAATGAGAAAATCTAGGAACACATTTGAGGGCTCGTCGCTAGTGACATTGTAAACTGTGAATTATTACAAAATTACCAAAAAAATATTATTAAATAGGTACTCGTACCTTATTATTCAAATAGTATATTCAAAATATTCATTTAATGTTCTATCCACTTAATATGAATTAGGTGCATTTATTTAACTTATTTATTAATTCTGAATTGATTTCCGAGCTCTTATATATCTTTAGCCAACTATAATATGTAGTAAAAAGCATTCTGGACCACGGATGATTATTTTTACTCATGTTAAAAGGAAATAGTTTATAAATGTTAACTTTGGAAAGCTTTAAAGTTTGACCATATTGCCATTAAATACGAAACTTACTTAAATAAAAATAGCAGCTTATTTTAGAGAAAGCAGAAAAATGGTTTGAAATTCAACTAAAGAACTTTTTTACTCATACCATTATTTTAGCAGGTGAATTAGAAACTTGAAAACTACAAATTGAATTATTTAAGCTGAGATCTCTTTTATTAGTTATCTTATAGATATACAATACAATGTTACTTAAAAATATTATTAACAATATTTATAGTAAAATAAAATTTTACAGAACACATTATTTTATATTTACACTAAAAATGCTAATAAAATATATAAGATATAATTTTGGTATTAAACCATATCTAACTCTTCGAATCCAATACTAAATAATAATACATTTTAAGTTTTTATTAACATTATGATCGACAAATTATATTTTATAATATTTATGTAGGTATGTAATAATATGATTTCCCAAAAAGGGTTTAAAAATGACTAGATAGTTAACACAATATACAAAATAAATAACTGGAACAAAAAGAAAGTAAACACTTACACATTATGTAAACTTGAAATTAATTAAACAAGTATTTTACACCTATATTATTTTGAGTCCATCTCATATAAATTTAATTTCTGATAGAATAATTTTCACTTTTATCCACTTCCACACTAGGAAGTGGCTGACACTGCTATTGTTCGTCAACTTTAAAGGTAGAATAATGGCAGGCCCCATTGATGATTATCTCACTAATCCCAGTTGTCCTCGGAGTATGTGTTGTTGATGACAATGGTTCTATGCTAGCTATAGTACTCATTACTGGAGTGGAATATATTTTTCCATTGTGAATTGCAGAATGAGTTTGGGTACTCGGTGTATAAACAGTACATGTTGCTCCTTGTTCTACTCTTGGCTCACTTATCATACCCATTTTCACTTCAAATATGACATCTTGAATTTTCTTCTTGGCTACCAGTAGATTTTTTTCACCTTTTAACGATCTTAATTCATTAGCTATATATTCACCAAATACTGAAAATTCATCCCTGTTTAGGTTATTTGATGGATAAACTATTTCAGGTTTAAATGAATGGACTAGTTCTGTACGGGGTATTTTAGATGGCAAGGACAGATTGTCAAGCTTGCAATCATTTGGAGAACTTTCAGTTTGTGATTGTAGAGTATCATTAATATCTGTGGTTCCTTCCTGAAATCATATAAAATAAAATTCTAAATTTATTTTTATTATAATCTGTATTAGAAAGAGCATACACATTACACCAACTAGTAATATATATTTTTAATGCTTAACTTACCGACTGTAAAACTCTATACGGTTTATTAGAGTGTTTCATAAAGTGTAAATATTCATAAGCATACCAATTGCTAAAATATCTTTCGTTAGGCCCCTCAGAATTTGCTCGAGATTCCCGCGCCGACTCCCTATTATACTGTGTACGAAGATGTTGTATTTTTTTTGTCGCGTCAGAAATAGATATTCCTAATATTTCGGATATTCCGCGGAGTTCTTCCTTACGTTTTTGTTTATCTCTGCGAGTGTCACAAAGCGACGTATTCCATAAATTAGCGTTCAACTGCAGTAGCTCGATCAGTTTCAAAGTCTTGTCCTTAGACCACTCCATCTCAAGATTAGTTTCCACCAATCGCTTATCACTTTAAATATAAACATCGGATTTAAAACAGAACAGACAGTAACATTCGACGATCAATCGTTCGATTATTCAACAAACTATGTGTTGACATTTACAAACACGACGCCGATTCAACTTTCAAGACCCGACACCGATTGTCAAATGTCGATTGGTTTGTCGAGCGCTCGATCCAGTGTTGCCAAATAAAGCAAAAAGCATTGACTAAATTGAGTTGTTTAAATTATTTTTTTGTAAAACAGTTGAAGTAAGAAAGAAATTCAAACAATTATAAACATGTTTGTCTGTTTATTGTATTAGAGTCAAAATTGCTCCACAGACACTTTTCCATAGCTTTACCGTAGAGGCTAGATTATAGGCATTTGCATAGTTTTGGTATGTGTATATGGATGTATGGAATATGTAAATGCAATATCCCTATTTAAAAACTCCAATAGGATCCCATCAAAAGCGACAAAAGCCACATAGAAATCAATACATATTTATTGGTTTCTATGTGGCCTTTGTCGCTTTTGATGGGATTCTATTGGTGTTTTTCAACAGGGATGTCTGTTACTCTTTCAAAACCACTAAACGAATTTTGATGAAACTACAATAATATAGCTTAGCTTATATGTCAGAGTAACAAAATGTAAAGGCTATAATTTATAAAGATATACATAGTAAAACATAATTCAAGCACGCGCGCGGAGTCGCAAGGAAAATGCTACTATGTAACATTTTTCCTAGAAAAAAATATAAAACTTTATAGTTTCTTGTTGCGTCGACATATTTTATAAGTTAGTTATAACGGACGTCAGACTCTTTGAAATTTTTATGCTTATTTAGGCCTATTACTTACATTCTCCTTTCTTTTCGTAACCAAATAATTACAAATAGGTACATTGTAGTACATGTATATATTAAGGAGAAACTTAAATCTTGGACAACTGACAAATTTTAATAATTAAAATGTAGCCCTCACTCTCAATCTTTGATGTTTCATTGGCTTCATTTTGTATTTTATGTATTAATGAAAATATTTTTACTTATATTTATATATTATAATAAATTGTTTCAAATCTGAAGTATAAGTATGCGTTCTTGTCATAACATTAAATAAAAGGTAAATAAAAGAAACAAATCTAATTCATTCTCATTTATTTACAGACTACATAAAATGTGTGAGGACTATCACATTATAAAACAAGTGCTCTAACATAATAGATTATTTACATTATATACAATTCTCTCTATAAAAATGCACTATTCAACACAAAAATACTGTAATAAAACAATTTTAAGATTTATTGTATTACTATAAAATATGTAGTTGTATTGTTTAGTTATTATTAGCTGCTTAATATTTAGTTATGGCGTAAAGAAAATTTTATAGTATACTTCAGTAAATGTAAATTTTCCAAAAGTTATGATAAATATATTTTTACATATAACATTTTACAAAGACTTGCATGAAAACATATATAGATTTGATGTATAAATACATAAAATTGTTTTATTAAATGTTTGGTTATGTAAAACTTAAAAAATACGAGTTCACGCCTCCACTTGTTATTAATTAAGAGGAACTAAAAGGTTTAACAATAGTAATAAAAGAATACATTATTGCATTCTAATGTTTAGTCATTGAGGGTTACCAATTTTAATAAATTAGCTTTACTTAAAATAATATGATATTATTCTTAATGTAAAATTATAATAATTTGTTAATAATATATTTAATTTTTTTCCAAAACTAAATGTGCAGATACGAAAAATATGGTAACCCTAAGAAAAAAAATTATACAAAATAATATGTACATTTACTAAACAGCTAGTTAATTTTATAAACCAACTATGTTTTATTATTTTTGACAAATAAATAAAATACTTTTCTATTGACTTTTATTACAAAATTGTGTGAATGTCACTGATTAATCAACTAAGTAGTACCATAGACGATTTTCATAAAAGGTAAATTATAACCTAAGAATCACATAATTTGAAATGGAACATTTAAAATGAAACTCACATAAATAACAACAACAAAAATAAAACAAAAAAAGTTTTAACCAGATATGCCTAGTCTAAAACATAGTGAAATCTATATACAATTTCTAAATATAACTTCAAAATCACAAGAATCAATTAAATTAACCTCCAAATTGTCAATATTATAAAAATATTTGCAAGCAAGACATATTATAGGTAGGGACTATGGGTAAATTTGCTATCTGTGTACTTACAGTAATTTATTAGAAAATGAAGCTGTAGCTTTAGTTGTCAGACATCTTATAAAAATTATACTGAAATACCTACTTAAGCAGTTAATATACCTACTAATTATACATTACAGTAAAGCAGTATACTGAGAGGTAAAATAACCAGTCAATATTGTAATTATCAATAAGTCAACAAATAATAGAAATTCCATTTTTAACAATTGACAATATCATTTTTGCCTATTCGTTTACAAATTGGTGGTTACACTGCCCTTGAGGTTAAGCTGGGACTGGGAAGTCGGTTTTTGATTCCGATTGGGGCAAAGAGGAATCAAATTACACTTTGATCTTCTACAAGATACATTTCATGTAATAACTAAATAAATACTAGCTATCTATTTAACTGTACAGAGTCCGTAATATTAATTTGTACGTAGAAACACTCGGGGTTTACGTTATATCGAGCGGCCGGCATTCACGCGATCTAAAGAACCCTTTCTCGGTGCGGCACTCTCTAATCGTTACTGTTTGAAGGTTGACTGTGACGTCAGTTATAAAGATTTGGTCTGCGACAGGAGATCGCTTCATCCAGTAGGACGCGTCCCGTCTGGGAGGAGGCGGAGGTGGGTTCGGCGCAGGAACGGGTGCTTCGCCCCACGAGTCTTCATCTTCAGGTTGAGGTGCAGGTGGTGGGGGCCGCGCACCTTTGGGTTCCGCGGGTGCCGTGGCTGTGGGTTGTGTGTCCGTTCGTCGTTCTCTTTCGGGAGGAGTATGTGCGTCTGCTTCCTCCGGCGAGTGAGGGGCTCTCCTCGGGCCAGTTCTAGGGGCAGCGGCTTCGGCTGCGGGGGACGCGGGCGCCGCTTGCCCGCCGGGAGGGGCCGCAGGCGGGGGAGGTTGGGTGTGAGTTCTTCCACCATTTACTTTTGTAGAATCGTGTCTCTTTGCCGGTGGACTCATGGTTATGGTAACACCGATCCTGCCCGATTCCCTCAGGACTTCCGCCTTGCGTTTTCCTGGCGCCGGATGTCGTTCCTCGGAACCACTGCGCGCTCGCTCGACGGGTGAATGCTCTCGTTCTCGTTTGCGCCCTTGCCGCCGTCCTTCTTCCCGCTCGAAACTCTGTATAAGCCGCGGGTCGAGAATGTTCTCTTCTGGCTCCCAGGTGTTGTGCTTCGGCTTCCAGCCTTTCCATTTCACGTAGTACTCGACTTTGTTCTGTAATAAAGAAAATTTCTCGGTTATTCGATGGACATTTTGACGCGGGCGCGCGGGCGCGCCGGTGCGCTGGCGTGGCGTGACTAGCCGGTGGCGTGCAGCGACCGGAGGGTTGCACATAGCCTCGCTGATTATTCGCGATTCCCACATTTTAAACGGATTAAAAACGGTTAAAGCGGTAATTTACTTTTCAGATTGTTAATATGAGATTTTATATTTACCTACATATTCGTAGTATATTATAGGTAGATATTAACAACTTAAACATTTACAGGTATGTCTGAAATATAAAAGTTAAATGTCAAGTCTTCGCACACAATTTATTGATTAGGTAAATGATTAAAGATTTAAATGTTGGACTAAACTCATGCGTAAAAAACCTAGTTACATAGAAAAAATAAACAATCATTTGTGTATTTACTTATTAAAAATAAAATTTTTGAAAAGGTTAAAAAGACGACGCAGGTCGATTTCGCAATTTTCGGCGCACCTGCTCGAAACAGCTGTCGGCTATCTCCCCTGGGATCGATCCCAAAACTTACCCCATAACACAAAACATGCCGTTACACACCAAATAATAACACGTAAAGTATACAATATACCTTTTTATAGAAAGCGTATACATTGAAGCGCCAAATATCTACATTTCTAAAGAAAGCAATTTTTCTAAGGTACCATACCAAGCATGCCCATAGAAATATAGTACCTAAAGGTAGGATTTTGGTAAAGCATAGGTTGAATACTTACATTCCTAATGTAATGAAATTATATGTAAATTTCTTTTATCGATTTGCCTTGTCCTAACCTTACATGCGAACTCTATCGACATACTTAGATACCTACGTCCTACGTTATCTATAGGAAGTGAAAGACATTAAGACAGTACCTAGCTAATTTATTTAAATAGGCAATAATTTGTGATTCTTCACGAATTTGTGTCATCGAACTACTTATATAAATATTAAGAATCCTGTTTCATTTAACTTTGTAATTTTATAACAAATTTGACAAATAAAAAAAAATAACTGACTTTTGTTATTGTATTAAAAATTTACTTTTTAGGATCACATGAGAAATATTTTATTTGAAATTGATGTAAATTTTTAATTAAGCATTATAGCAAAGAAATAAGAATTACTTAAGTGACCAAGTCCGACAACAGATCTCGTATCGAACACCTGTGGCGACACAAATTACTGCGGGTACGATCCAATATAAAACCCAATGTTTATTATGAACCTTTCTCTTTAAACCATTTTTTATATTACGTTTGAAAAACAACTTTATACATCAGTGCAATAAGGTGTATTTTTGTTTAAAGCAAGTGACTCATAGGGCGTTTCTAACAGTTGGATCTACTCGGAACCCTCGCGTCTTATTGGTTTTAGTAATGAAGGGTGAGTCAAGAATTAGAGAACGTTGTAACTTTGTACAGGCGTCCGATTGCAAGTATTTTTTGATATAATAAACTTGTTAAATTTTTTAAATACAAAGCATTGCTTCGAAAAATGTTGTTAATATTATGCAAGTGTGATATTTTTTTTTATTTACAACTTTAATGGGTACACTCTATCATGTATGACTTTTTTGTTATTAAAATAAAAGAGTGTAATTTTACTATACCTATTAGGTACCTAGTTACAAGTACTTGTTATAAGTAGGTAGGTACTTGAATCTACTAATCATATAATTTAACCATCACAAAAATGTTTTAGGAAAAACAAATTTAACAACCATAAATAGATTTCTGTACGTAATATGATTCTTCAAATAGTTTAGTTTTCATTTCTCAAAATAGGCCCCTAAAATTACGAGTCTATCCAAATATAGTACCTATATACAAAAATGCATCAGCTATTTTGATAAGTTCTTTTCATTAAGTATATATCCAATACCTGATGAATTTTGAAATTATAGGTTTTGTAAATTCATGTTTAATGAAGATTTTGAATTTGTCTATTATTAAGAATTGTCCTTTTTACTTAGACCTATCAGTACTTAAGCGCCTTCCTGAATTGGCGGTGAGGTATCGGTGCATTCTTACCGTGCGCTTATATTTGAATGCACGCGTCCCGATTGGCGTGAGCTGCCCGGGAGCGAGGCGGTATATCAACATGCAGCATACTGCTTTGCAATCCAGGTAGCCAGTAAAAGCGTTGATACCGAGCGTAAAAGTCTAAGATTTTTTCAAGTTTTTACAAGACTTCAATTACCGAAGACAAGTAAGAAGACAGTATATCGATAAGTGTGGAGGTCTAGCTAACATCAGTAAGCTCTCGGTAACGTAGAAAATCCCGCATACACACAGATACCGTACCGCCAAGTCAGGAAGGGGCCTTAGTTGATCTCAATTTTCAATGCAATGAAATCTAGGTACATATTACCTACTAATAAAATATTATCTTGATATTAATAGGCAGGTACTACCTACGATATAATATCTTTTGACAAGTACATATTTGTGAAGAGTATGAATGTGAGTTCGTATACACAATAAAACATTAGAAATGTTTACCTATTATAATAATTAATGACTAGAAACGACAGTAAAATTCCTGGAAAGGACGTTGTTTTAAATTTTTTAAATAATACGATACTTGTATAAATAAAACCATAAAATAACACTAATAATCAATTAATGAACAAAAAAATTAAAACCCCATAATTTAGGTAGATATTTTACTACAGAAAAAGGTTTTTATAATTATTACCTATTTTTATTTATAGACGTTAACAGACAATATTAATTAAAAATATATATATTAGAAACTTGTAAAAACATTAACCAATAATAAAATATTTTCTATTCTTTTCTGTGCCTACTGAAAACCAACTAAACATACCTACACGTCATCATTTCATCAAAACTAATACCATCAACTCAAAAACTAAACAAAAACATTGTCCAGTATAGAAAAAATAAAAAGGATCATTGGGACGTACGGGCAAGGTGAAGTCGTACGGCTGAGCGGTGATTGGACGGCGGGCGGGGCGAAGGGAGAGGGGCCTCGCCCCCGCTCCATCTGCCTCCACCCCCGCAACGCCTGACTCGAGCCCACCAAGATACCTATGCGGCCCGCCTACCTCTAATACAATGCTATAAGATTGCAATTACCTTGAACTGGGCGTATATATAAAATAGCCGTTTTGATGGTTGTAGTATTGCCATGGGCGGACCACGTCTCGGGATCATAGACGCCAATTAGAGTCGATTGCAGTAATTAATGAGTTAATGAACAATAATTATAAATACGTTTATACTGTGATGAGTTAATTGCATTTTCAAAGTACACTATTAACATATTTAATGTCGACTTATAAATTTTCTATACAAAAGTGTTCAGGTCTTCAGAGACTAACATTTGCGTATTGAAAATATTCTCTTTTAAATAAACGTAATATTGGTATTCCAAGTCGGTATAAATGACTGACGCACACTGGCTGACTGGCGATAAGATTAATACTTCAATCACAATGTATTTACATTTTAACTGCAGAATAACTGAATAGTTTCTTGAACAATAATCGAAGAAATTTTCTGCTACTTAATAGTTTTTTCAATTGTAAGTACCTACTTAGGTACATATACCTATTTATTTTTAAATATTATTTATTGTAAAAGTATACTAATATGTAAAACCTAAGAATTTGGTTTTTGGTCATGTGAACGCGGGCGGAGCCGCGGGCAGTGCTAGTGATTAATAATTTGATAATTCAGGAAACCTAGATGAAGGCTCCGTAATGGTTCTGTAGTCAATATTGAAGGAAAAATCCTCACTGGAGCAGACTAACAGAATCTTGTGATACTCGTATCATTTTACAGAATGTCAAAGCTCTATATATGTACTTCGTTAGACGTAATCGAATGTAGGTAGGTACCTAATTATTATAAGTTTTAATACAGTTTTAGTACCTATAGCTATTAAATTCGAAGATTTCTCCGTAAAAGGTCATGAAAATTGATAGAACATCATTTTTAGAACCATGATCTAAAAATGGCATCTACATGGATCAATTCTCATTGCATAGGAACATTTTTAAAATATTAACTACAGGACAAGTAGTTATGTTTAATATACATTTTTCTTTGTGCTTTAGATACCTACTTATGTACACACGTAAGAAGTTATCTTGGGCGTAACAGAACAAAAATAGCTAAAGATTTCATCCCGTATGTCACAACTCTCTGTTTTTAAAAGGAATGCAGCTAACTTCATCATATCGCTTTCAGCTAACTACATCGTGTCGCTTTTTGGCTGTCGGTATGAGCATAAGAGACTAATTATTATACTATTAAAATTGTAATTTTATCAATTGATAATACGTTCCTTGTACAAATTTATGCCCCAAAGAAGTAGCTACCTACAAGTTTTACCACTGAAAAGTCTTCAATGAACTAAAATAAAAATATAAAATTAATAAGGTGTTAGATAGTAACTTTTAATATTCATTATGACAAATTCATATTAACGTGATATTGCTATATTAGGCACCTACCTGTTATTTTTACTTCTACTTCTGGCTTATTATTTTCGTATGTACAAGTAGGTATTAGTAGTAAACTTAAAGAGTAAAATATTTGTAACAAAGGCTCGTGATTTTCTCTGTAACGCTCTATAAATCAATCCGGATGTCATGAACTTGACAAAAGAAAATGACTCGTCTAAAGAGCTGCCTTGTCTCTATTTTTAGTATAAACTCACATAAAGAGGACATCGTTTTTTACTCAGCTTAACGATATAGTATAGAACTAGCGACTCACCCTCGCTTCGCTCGGGTTCGTCGATAGGTAACTACGTTTTAAATTAAAATGGATATGGTATGTTATCCTTAAGAGATAGACATATCGTTGGCTCACAATTACAAGGTTCTATGTTACAATTTTAGTACTTATTTAGTTATTAATGCTACAAGGTTATAATGTGTCATTAGCTACAGTTTTGCAAAAACAAATCACTAGATAGCTGCACTATACCTACAAAATATTCAATTTTACATAGTTCTATGTTGTTTTTTTTACGATAACAAAATAACGAAGTTCTATGTAAAAATTACTAAACTTTATTAAAATTAACATAGAACCTTGTAATAGTGAGCCAACGATGCCATCGCGGACTTTTCTGTAGACCTATATAAGATACACAATTTCACCATACATTATTTTGTTATATCTCAAAGGGTCTAGGCAGCGTTTTCGTTGAAAGCTCCCAGACGTCTTATTTTTTCCGATACCTCCAACAAATATCGTTATATTTTAGCCAATGTATACAAAAACTTAACAAATTATATACTATAACCTTCCTCTTGAATCACTCTATCTATTAAAAAAAACGCATCAAAATCCGTTGCGTAGTTTTAAAGATTTAAGCATACACAGTGATATAGGGACAGAGAAAGCGTCTTTGTTTTATACTATGTAGTGATTTAATGATGAATCTTTATCTGTAATTTATAGGTAGATACGTTGAACAAGCGAAGAATAAAAATAATAAAATAAATCACGATTACTATGCAGGCGGTAAACAATAATAGGTGCTCCGTGTAAGTTTACATTCGACCTTTAACACGCGTTAACTGATTTATCGCCGTAATCATTCAATGCAGATCAAGCTAAAGATATTCAAATATATAATATGCGGGCATATCACTAACAAGCTGTAACGTACCTACATATAACAAACATACTTATGTTTTTTCTTTGTGCTATAGACATTAGGTAGGTACATACCTACACACGTTTTTTATAATGTTTTGTGTCTAAAATAATCGAATATAATTGAGTGATGAAACACCCAAAAAGGGTTAAAATAGAGAACGGATAGGGAAAAAGAGTAAAAATCTGGGATGAATTTGCATACAACGAATTAGAAAAAAGTACCAAGAAAAGAGAATAGCGTGGGACACGCCACGACACATCTTTCTCCATGAGGCATGCAATATATTGAATACTAGCATTGCCCGCGGCTCCGCCCGCCTTCAGATGACCAAAACCCCAATTCTTAGGTTCTACATATTAGTATACTCTTAGAATGCAGTTTTTGTAGTTTTTCTCAGAAATGAGATATTTTCCCACGGTAAAAAGTATCCTATATGTTGACCCGGATAACCAGCTATCACCATACCAAATTTCATCAAAATCCCTCCTGTGGTTTTTCTGTGATGTGGTAACAGACAGACAGACAAAAATTCTAAAAACTATAGATTGGGCCTCTGTGTCCATGATAACGTCTATTCCAATAAGATTTTCCAAAAAATATTTAATGTACAGATTCGGCTTAGTTACAATTTTATTATATGTATAGATTTTATTTTAGTTATCTATACATACCTATAATAAAATTGTAACTAAGCCGAATCTGTACATTAAATATTATTTGGAAATCTTATTGAAATAGACATTATTATCGATAGAGGCCGAATCGATATAGAATGAAATAGAATTTTTGTCTGTCTGTCGGTTACCGCATCACGAGACAATCACTGGAGGAATTTTGATGAAATTTGGTATGGTGATAGCTGGTTATCTGGGTCAATATATAGTATACTTTTTACTGCGGGAAAATGTCTCATCTCTGAGAAAAAATATAAAAAATGCAATGTAAGAGTATACTAATATGTAAAACCTAAGAATTTGGTTTTTGGTCATCTGAACGCGGGCGGAGCCGCGGGCAATGCTAGTAGTAAATAAATTACCTACTAGGTAAAAACTAGAACTAACTAATTTAAATATTAGACTATAATCGTTTCCAGTGCTTATTTATCCTTTTAAACTGACATGGAAGAACGGCGAAAAAATTTATTTATTCATATCATAACAAGCATAGGTATCTAACAATAGCATCGAGTGTTTTTTATTGCACTAGGTGATTTATTATAGAAGATATTTGGAATTTGCCTCTAGGTAATATTGATTGGTATTTGCATAGTTGCAAACCCACACAGCTACCTAACCTTAATTGATCGTTTACCATGGACAGGGAATTCTAAAGCTATGTACTGTAGATTTAAAATTTACATTAATTGACATAAAGTATAAAGTGTACTAGATATGAGGCCAATACTTTGTTTGGTAGCATCGTCAAGCATGTCTTTAGATTTGATCATATAGCTATTAAATACATCAAGTAACTTAGTATTAGTATTAGGCCCTTATAGGTACATATATGAAATTGGCGTTTTATAAGGAAAACGCAAAATGAAAAAAATATATAAAATTATATAGATATTTAATCAATCAAAGTATATACCATTGTTATCTATGCACTTTCGCCATTTTATATGTAGGTAGTTTTTTGATTCCTTTGCTGAAAAAATTGTAGGAGCTCGAATCGATAAAATCTCTGAAGGCGGTTTTGACTGCCTCATCCGAGTTGTTTTTTTTCTTGCAAGAAATTGTACGAATTCCTGAAAAAATTGTGTTCTATTGGAGCACGATCCGGGGAGTATGGTGGGTATACTAATTTAGCGAACGTCTGTTGTGCAGTGTGTGGTCTAACGCTGCCCTTAAGCAGCAGTGGGCTAGAGAGAGGCTACAATATCCTCCAAAAATACATTATATTTAATATCTATAGATATAGGGGAAGCCCGGGCAAGACGCATATGTTAAGGCATAGTGTAAATAAATCCACAATTTTAATAATTAATAGAATTCTTTGTACTTTTATTTTGTACTATGTTCAATCATCTTTGGAAAATAATCATTTAAATTAAAAAACTTTGACGATTACTATTATAATTATGAGTTTTTACAAAAAGTATAAATTATCCGTTTTGCCCGGAGGGGTCGGGCAAAACGGATATGCCCCAAGGGCAAAAAGGATATCTTGAATTAGTTCAGATCAGTCTTCGCATTCATCACAGAAGTAGCTGCCAATTTCTACATAAGAACTAAAATCTTCATGTGCCTAACTTTTGCGCTCATTACACTGAATCCAATCTTCCGCTGCTGGTTCAGTGTATTTGTCAGCGCACACTAAACAGTAAAAATCTGGTTTCGGGTTTTTGTTTTGTTGCTAGACTGAGGATCTTTTAGTTTTCGTTTTTCTGGAGCCTTCTAACTCAGAAATCTTGGTCTTCTTAATATTTGCCTTCTTAAACTTTAATGCTTGTTCAGCTTTGACGGGAGTAGACGTCAACATTTCTGATTCCTGCCTCTGATGTTTGCGGCCTGTTTTAGGAGCAGCCATAGTTGGAATAGATCTAATCTGAAATGACGTAAGGCTTGCTGCAGGCGCTGGATGATTTTCTCCTAGTGAATCAGCTGATCTTTCTTCCAGTATATTGGAATCAGGAAAAGGTGTAGTAGACCTTTTAGTCTCTATTTCTACAATGATAACGGACTGTGTGGAAGATTCAACTACTGCGTACTTTACGATAACAGATGTGATTTCAAGTAGAAACGGGTCAGTCGTTATTGCTGTTGCTGGAGAGTCATTAAAAGCCCAGTCGGTCATAGTAGTCGATGTGCCATTAAAAAGATCTTTGATCATTGTCGACGGTGCATCATTTACAGGACCTTCAGTCTTATTAGACGGTACGTCAGGAAGGGGACGGTCGATCATAGTTGAAGGAGCGAGCATAACCATCTTTTCCAAAAACATTTGGATCATAGGGGCAGATTCCCGGTTTTTTAAATCCATTAACTGCATTCTAAACCGAAGCATTTTTGGCGTATGTTACGCCAAATAGTTTTGCCATATCAGACTGGTTTACTATACGGCCTGGGTGCATTTAAAGGTGAGATCTGTATAAAATTAACATTGGTTGTCAAAAAACTATTACAATATTTCTTACTTAAAAAGACATCATAAAATAACTAAACGGGCAAAACGGATACCTATCCGTTTTGCCCATATCCGTTTTGCCCAACACACTAATATTAGTAACAAGTCAAGACTTGCAATGTTTTAGTAGGTGAACAAAAAGTAATGATTACAATTAATGATACTTTAATAAACGTGCAAAATAATTAAACCAAAATAGTCATAGGCAACTGATGACTAATACAAAAAGTTTGTGTACAAATCTTCACAAAAATCGTAACAAAACGACGATAATCCTTTTTTTCTCCTTCCACAACAAATGCACTCGCGTATTGTTTTGGTCGAACTGTCATGGCGTTACTGGTCGCACATGTCACGACTTGAGAAAGTGTCATAGCGCTATCTATTATATATTTATGGAAAATTCAGTTACTCCTCTTACCCACACTATGCTTCTTGCCCAGGCTTCCCCTACACATGTAGGCAGTTTGATATTTTAAGAGAAAAACAACGTTTTCATGGAAAACAAATGAAAATTGCTCACTTTCAGTGCTAAGTGTTATTGTCAATTCGTTCGTTTGGTGAATTGCCTCGATGAAATACAGTTACTTCTTCATACGGACATATCAATCATCTTTTAAAGCTAAGATTTTCGTGTAGTGAAGATCTTTTACGAGCGCTGTTATGTTTATGCCACTTTAAAGCGAACATGTAGAGAGCAGTTGGACGAATGCCAACTCGTCTCACGATACAATGGCCCGGTAACGTAAGGAATGATAGTGAGATATTCTATTATATAAATATTAACAGGGCTATTAGTTATCTTAGTGGTAAGTATAAAGATTTTAATGTCGTGTGAAGAATATAGATTAAATAGGCGATTAAAGAGCATCGTTGGAAGCCTGCCAGACAATAATTAAGTATGCGATGCGGTTGCAATGCAGAGAATTTAACTTTATCTGGTTTGTATTAACTACAAAAATTTGCGCAGAGTTACTATTTTAGGTAAGGTTTGGAGTGAATTTCACATGCGATTTATTTTTATTTGGTGTTTTGGCTAACATAATTGATATAGCAACGGATATTTTAAAATAAACATAGCTAGGTAATAAGGTATACTTAACTTTATTAAGTTACACAGAGACAGGTATTTTTAGAATTTAGATATATAAGCATTTAACTTCTAATATCTGTTTGTTTTATTATTTTTTTTTACTTTATTGGATAGCTATTAAGGTATATTGTTTGTAATATGTATTGCAAGTGACATTTCCTAAGCTTTATCGGAACGACCACTTTGTGTCGTCTATCAAGTCACAAATTGTTGCCCGACTTCAGTAGGGTCGATGGGTGGCGGGATAGAGGGAGAGGGTGAGAGGGTGGGTGAGATTAATGGGCCGGGAGCCGCCTAGCCCACGGGACCGATCAGGGGTTTAAATACGAATCCTCTCAAATTGCTCGAATCTCGACTGTGAAATGTCCGCGAAAATGTTTGTTTTAGTATCGTGAGGGCATCGAATGTCTTACGAGGAAAGGAACAATATTATAGTGATATTTAATAGTTCTAACAAGTAGGTGATGTAAGTAACTTAATTTAAAATTCCTAGTCATTATCTTGTTTAGGGCTAAATTATTTTTAGTAAACTGGAAATGTGAATAACTAAAGATTATAACTACGTTTACCAGGCCGTTTTTACTCTAAAACACATAAAAATACGATAATAAAATTGCACTAGCTATATTGCTAATTTTTATACAAAATCAAATCTTTTAGTAGTAGCTATACGTTCCTACCCATAATAAATTTCTAAGTGAATCGAATCTGTACATTAAATATTTTTGCAAAATCTTCTTGAAATAGTCATTATTATCGATACAGAGGCCGAATCTATAGTTTTTAGAATTTATGTCTGTCTGTTTGTCTGGGGACGCATCATGAGAAAACCATTGGACAGATTTTGATGAAATTTTGTATGATGATAGCTGTTATCCGAATCAACATAGAAGCCTTTACTGCGGGAAATTATCACATCTCTGAGAAATCTATACTAAACGATAACTTTTATAAAATTAGTTATCTTTTGTATAAACCTACATTTTTAATTTAGTATATACATTATACATATACGCGGTTGTTAAGTAGGTATATGTAAAAAGTACCTATAGTTTGCTAGAAATGGTGATGAGAAGGCGCGTGACCGTGTCGAGGCATAACGTTGAAAGCATAGTCGCGTCGAGGCCGTCGACACTTCGCTCGTCAATTAACACTATCCTTTTTATTGCCACTTCAAATAAATGCCTCTTCTAGGAATACCACGTAGGTTATTTATTATCATAAATTTGAATTTTATAACACTTTCTATCCATATACAAGAATTTTGTATTGAAAAAAAATACAATTAGTCCGCTTTATCTTTATTGTAATCTTTTAAAACGAAGGATTTATGGAAAATATGGGCACCTATAGTTTGCATAAGAATTTTTATAATAGAAGTCAAGCATATATTATCTGTTGAAACATGTAAGCGTGCTTGTGTTAAATGTTCATACTTTATCAAGTTTATCGAATTTAAGTTCCATAGTTGATTGGTTATATTAAGGCATCAAACAGTTATAGATTCCATTCCAATTACATTACAGTATAAATTCAAATAAAATTTGACTGTCACGTTTAATTTCTAACCCTCTTAAAGGCGCTAAAAGGATGGAAATGGGGAGGAAAAATAGATGAGCCTCAAGCCCTAAGGCACGTTGATGTATAGATTTACGACCAAAATGTCCTTTTACCCGATGACTTGGTAATAAACACTAATACAAATCTTGTAAAGGATACCAACATACACATAAATGTATTTCTAATAAATTTAACGTGAAAGATTTTCTGGTTTTTTTTTAAGAGACGCACAGAGAGAGCACGGAATATTTTATTGGAAATCCGCACTGGCACTGCCTTCTGGCGTTTCAGGCATATAAACGATACCTATCGTAAAAGCAGATATTGTAAGTAAAATAGAAAACACCTAATACTTTTTTAAAATATTACAAGTTTTGCATGCAATTCATTCATTTTAAGGTATATATCATTCATCTATAAATAATAAAGTGCAACCTGTTGATAGCCAACTTTTGTTAAATTTAGACTAAAGTTTAACTATTCTGACCACGTACAGACCTCCGTGGAGATGTACGTGACGTGACGAGTCGAATATTTATCTTCCTTTAACTGACTTTATTCTTAGGGTGCGTTTGAATTTTTAATATAGTAGCAAACGTGTTAACACTCAATTATCAAATGGGTAAAGGTAATGTCTATGAAAATTTTTGTTTTTTTTTTTTACAAAAGTACACATAAACCATATTTCGACAACTAAAGCAGATAGGTAGATGAAAAAGTTTTTATTTTTAGATTTAGAATGCCAAATGTCTTCAGAAAAGCTATCGGGAACAAAATCTTTGTAAATTATAGGTATGTGTAGGTATGTATGTAATTTATATTTGCTTTATAAATTGAGATTGGACATTTAAATTTGAACTATTACCGCAATATGCTACTAAGCGTAACCTATATAAACTATTTTTATACCTTTACTAGAATTGCCCGCAAGTCCGCCCGCGTTCAAATGACCAAAAACCAAATACTGAGGTTTTACATATTAGTATACTCTTACAATGCAGTTTTTGCATTTTTTCTCAGAAATGAGATATTTTCATGGTGATGATAGTATCCTATATGTTGACCCGGATAATCAGCTATCACCATACAAAATTTCATCAAAATCCCTCTAGTGGTTTTTCTGTGATGCATTAACAGACAGACAGATAAAAATTCTAAAAATTATAGATTCGGTCTCTCGTCTCTGTATCGATAATAAAGTCTATTTCAATAAAAGTGTCCAAAAAATATTTAATGTACAGATTCGGCTTAGTTACAATTTTATTATATGTATAGTTTACATACGTCGGTACTTACTACTTGCCTATGTTTATTACCGAGCTTGTCGTTTTTAACGTTTAGCGTTTCTTATAATGCTAATGAATCAGTCACTGGAAATATTTATTCAATTTGAAATATGAATTTAGTTAAAAGTAAATAAATCAAATATATAACTCCGTAATGTTATTTAAAAGAATGTTAAGTTTAAATTAAAAGAAAATATTTATTTAATATTCTGTCTGACTGAAATCGATTCATGAATCAACATAATAAAACAAAAAAAAGCAATATCCATTCATTGAAACTAAACAACTAAAAAAATCTTTCCCGTGGGCAATATCCGCGTATTCTTTTGTAAGATAAGTACTAGGAGAGCAGAAACAGCGAGGAGTGAACGGGACGGATTGCGCTCGCAAACGCGCTGAGTGTGCAAGAGAAAATTGATATGTCAGACAAGGTAAGCAAGTCTGTGGGACGTGCGCCACTCGACTTGGCATTCTGCAGACGCCGCACCGCGCACGTTGCGCCGTGCGCGTCAGTCTTTGCCCAGCTGTCGCTCGGGAAGGATGTTGGATTATTATTTGTACTATAACAGATTTATTCATGCTTCAATAGTGTTTACGCTCAGGCGTGAATAGAATTAGTTACGCATACGATTGAACTTATTTATACGTTCTATACATTAGTGCTATAATTGTGGGCTATTAACATCTATTGAAACCCATATTTAACTTGCAGCGTGTTATTTTTAATAAGCATGAATATGCTTATTAAGGTAGGGTTTCGGAATGCTTCTTTAATGACTTTAGTAAGAGGCGGTTTGGGTCTTTAACTTATTTTATGAAGTGATAATGATAAGGAGAAACTGTGACCATTTAGTGCCGGCACGATGAGTGCACTTAGCGGTCCACGGTCATCGACTCTGCGACAATTAAATCGATGCACTGTCAAGCGACGCGCGTGGCTG